GGCCAAGATAATCCGAACCATCGTTGAAGTTGTAGAAGCTTGTCATTCTCTTGGGGTTATGCACAGAGATCTTAAACCAGAGAACTTCTTATTCGATAGCGTCGAAGAGGATGCCAAACTTAAGGCAACTGATTTCGGGCTGTCTGTTTTTTACAAGCCAGGTTTCTTCTTGGTTTATTTCTTTGTCTTTAATCTTGTCTGATGTTGAAATGTCTCGGCTTTTTGTGTTTGTATTGTCTTGAATAGATCCTTGGTAGTTTAATTATTCCAGTACTGTGAAAGATGTTCACATGCAAATTTATCCCATGATCTCGAATCCTGCATGCCCGATTTACTTGTTTATTTCTAAGTTACCAAATCCAAACGTTATTAATCTGATTGAGATGGAACCTTTGGTCTGGACTTGTTATCGGGCATGGTTGCTTCCCTTCGCAAGTTCCCAAGTGGAGTGCTTTTTCTTAAGGATATGTGCATGTTCTGTACTTGTTCAAAGAAATGGAAGAGGATGGTTAAAGGGATTAGGGGAGTGAAAACCCCTTGTTCTATCCTCTCCTCTTTTCTGACTAAGGACTTCAAACCGCTAGAAGCTTAGAGCTTTGTACACTTGAAGATGACTGTATAGGTGCTCTGTGAGTATAATGTGAAACATGTTCTATGTTTAATTATTTTCTCCTGCAAAATTTCTCAAAAATATGCATATAAAGCTATTTATCTGCATCTTTGTGGTTGGTTGGCATTTGGCAAAAGGTATATTCTTAAACACTACATCGAGTGTTGGGAGCTGGTGCACTGAAAGTATTGTCTTTGTGCAGATTATCAATTCAGTTTACAGAAAAATGTATTTAGCTATTAAAAGTTAAATGTGAACTTAACAGCGTTTCTCATAGTTACTATTTGAATATTCCATACTGTTCTTAATTTCAACTATTGCTAAATCAACTGGAAACCTCTTCATGCTGTTTATGCCTAGCAAAGTGATATGATCTCAGGTGAAACATTTTCTGATGTTGTTGGAAGCCCATACTATGTTGCACCAGAGGTGTTACGCAAACATTATGGACCTGAATCAGATGTGTGGAGTGCAGGGGTTATTTTGTACATTTTACTTAGTGGGGTGCCACCATTTTGGGCCGGTAGGTATCTGTATTTGATATGTTAAATTATAATTTGCCTATATGACTTTACCATTTTCTTTTGTTTTTTTCTTGGGGTTCTTAACTTTCATCTATTCCTTGTTGCTAATATAATTACCTAAATTCTGCCTCCTCCAGAAACTGAAACAGGGATCTTCCGACAGATTTTGGAAGGAAAAATTGATTTTCAGTCTGAACCATGGCCTAGCATTTCAGACAGTGCAAAGGATCTAATTAGAAAAATGCTTGAGCAAAATCCCAAAAAAAGGCTTACAGCCCATGAAGTACTCCGTAGGTCTTTTATGCTTTTTGTTGATGTGTGGGTTTTGTAGTACTAATGCTTTGAGTATAAAAAAATTTTAAAATGAGGTTGAAAAGTTTAAAATTTTTACAAGGCTGTGGGGCTGGATTGTTTTTCTTTGTCAGGCCACCCGTGGATTGTTGATGACAACATTGCACCAGATAAACCTCTTGATTCTGCTGTTTTATCACGCTTGAAGCAGTTCTCTGCAATGAATAAGCTCAAAAAGATGGCTTTGCGAGTAAGACTTAATTATATATTTTCGCTTTGACAAATTTATTTCTATGTGCTAGTATATACAAGAGCCGTTTCATGAGCACTTCATGTGTATTCTCTACCCTGAAATATGTTGGCTGTAATGGTGTTACTCATCATTTTGTAATAATTGATTCTAAAGGTAACTGAATCAAGGCACTTTACATAGTGATATTTCCATCTCTTGTTCTCAGCCTGCAGGAGAGGAAGGTTTGCCCCATATGAGAGTGTTAGGGGATAGAAAAATAGGAAGTGTTCTTCATGTTAGAGGCTAGGGACTAGGGTTATGAGATTACATAATGTAGAATCTATGCTTGCAAGCATAATCCACTTCAGCATGCTGTGATGATTGACATTCCATGTGTAACAACATGCCATCAATCTTATTATATATAATTGATGGAATTAGCGTTTAGGATGTAATTGAGAAATTTTGGCAAGCATGTAGGATGAAATTGACACAGAATAAACGTTTAGGATGAAATGGATAGTATTCCCAGACTTTTGGGATGTCAAAGATACTTTAATTAAAAAAAAAAGAGCTAATGCTTTAAGAGCCCGTAACACGTTGTAATATGGATTTTGGTGGATTTGACATAGCTAGTTTGTCTTGTATGGTTAAGGAATTTCTTAATTTTTAAAACTGGCATCCTTTGATGCCTTTGGGAGCTTCGCTAGGCATCAGATTCCCGAGAGGATTATCCTTGGTGCATGCTTAAATGTAAGGAATGTGACGATAATTTTTGTCCCTATTCTTTTTATGCATCCTGATTGCACTTCTGCAGCCCTATTGTGTTCACTAGAGTTCTGGATCCAACTTTTTAAATGCATATTTCAATGGGAGCATCATAAAGCATGTATATTCTTGTGGTATATGTAGATAGATTATGGGCTTTGTTGTGAGGAAAAGATGTAATCAATATGAACTCTATGAATTCAAATCCTTGATACATTCTGATTTGTCTGTCTGGGTGTGCACACCGACATTCTGATGTTTGGTTCTCAGTTATACCTTTCCATAGGCACGTGGAAGTATTTCTTGTGATGGTCTCTAGTGTGTTAAATCCTAGCACCATACCATTTACTATCATTGTTCTTACTGATTCCCAGGTCATAGCTGAGAGGCTCTCTGAGGAAGAAATAGGCGGACTGAGGGAGTTATTCAAAATGATCGACACAGACAACAGCGGAAACATAACGTTTGACGAGCTAAAAGATGGTTTAAGGCGAGTAGGATCCGACCTTATGGAGTCTGAAATCAAGGATCTTATGGATGCAGTAAGATAAATTCTCTGTTTCTCTTGGTTTGATCCATTTTTGCTCCTTGTACTTCTTTGCCCTCTATTTTTTTCCTTTTGATAAATTTCTTGAAAAACTTGACAACATCTTGTGATTGTGCATGTGGTAGGCTGATATTGATAATAGTGGGACCATTAGTTATGGCGAATTCATTGCTGCTACTATACACTTGAATAAGCTGGAGAGGGAAGAGAATCTGCTATCAGCTTTCTCCTATTTTGACAAAGATGGAAGTGGCTACATAACTATTGATGAGATTCAACAGGCTTGTAAAGAGTTTGGTCTAAATGATTTCCCTATAGATGAAATAATCAAGGAAATCGATCAGGATAATGTAAGTAGCTTTCATCATGTCTTGCGATCAGAAGTTCCCTTGTTCACTACCACTAATCTTTCTAGATTATATGTCAGCCTACACATCTGCCACTCTAGAAACTAGAACCCGGCAAAATTACATCTGTAGACCCAAATTTTTGAAAATTTGAGGCCAAAAATCAAAGATACTATTAGTTTTCATGGGATCTGACCATAACTTGATCTTTTAATCTTTTATGATCTGGGTCTTCAGATGTGATATTTCCAAGGTATTGAAATTTGGACCGTATGGACCAGTTATTAAACCGGTCAAATGCATTGTTTAAGTGTGATCAAACTAGTTATGAATAATATTTCATTGAACAATTTAAGACACTGGTTCAACCAGTCAGATTGTCCTGGTTTTCAACACTACGGATTTTTCTGTGGAAACCCCATTAGCTTGGCAATTTTTTTGGTTGAGATTATTTTATTAGAGGTTGGTTTATGGTGCAGGATGGTCAAATAGATTATGGGGAATTTGCTGCGATGATGAGAAAGGGTAATGGAGGAGGGGTTGGAAGGCGAACAATGAGGAAGACTTTGAATTTCAGGGATGCTTTTGGATTGATAGGCAATGGTTCTAATGATTCTCAGCTTTAGTAGTTATTTAATCAAGCAACTGGGAAAATTTAAAAAAAAAAAAAAGGCAGTGAATTTCAACGATGTAACTTTGCTGACCAAATTGTGTCAATTAATATATCTGACTCTGTATTTGTTGACTTAGTCCCCTTGATGAGGTCCACATAACATGAGCTGGCTTGAAAAAGTCGTCTTGCATCAGATTTGATTTTGCTCTTCTGGTCAGAATTTCTTGGTACTGGCAAGCTGGTAAGTAATCACAAAATGCTTTTTTGTGATTATGAAACAAAAAAAAAAAAAAACAGAAGTTCATAGTTGGACATCGCCATGCACAAATAAAATAAAATAAAATAAAATAAATGAAATGAATGGTTCGATATTAGAGAATTTCTGGCGTATCGTTTTTCAGAACAAAATCCTTTTATCTAAAAATATAAACTTTAAATTATATTTATCTTTTCTCTTAAACCACAAATATTCTCTCATGGTGGTAATGAAATTTTTCTAAAATTATTTTTACCAGATACTCTCCCATCTTTACTATATGACATTTTCTAAGAGAGATAATTTTTATTATAAGTCATTTAATATAATATTAATTATACTTTTGAATAATATTTCCATTTAAAGTCATTGCCTATATAAGAAATAATGTAATTTAAATTAAAATGGGAGAAATTAAAAAATTGTTTCACTTTCAAACAAAATTTTTTCGTCGGTGTGGTGATTAGAAATTCTTTATAATAGAAACAAATAATATGACGATTTGGATGTAATAATCTCATTCTCTCATCCCACAACTTTATTGAAATGCGTCCATTAATCTGGGGAAAACAATCACTGTCTTATATACGTAATTATGTAATTAGCTATTCTGCAGGTAAGGATGATATTTGTAACTCGTACGCTCTCTCTCTCTACGTGTCATTCATTTCATTCTCTTGTAACCGTTTTGGACACGCCTATGCTATTTACATAGTTGGAAATGGCACCACATTATTCTGAGCATTTTCTATTCTTTGCCTGATTCTTATCAATTCATATAACAAATCATATGGCATTTGAGACTCCTTCAGTAAAGTAAAATGCGTACAAATTTGATATTATATGAGGAGGACTTAAAACTGAATACTACAAGTGTATTTCTTGGTCATGGTCATGGTCATGGTATTTGTGAAGGAAGATTCAGGGGACAAATCACAAATCCCACGGGGAGCAACCATGGAAATGTTTAAACACTTAAACATGTGTGCAGAATTTCACATTTTGCTTGAAACAGCAAGATACATGGTATGACGCCCCTGAGCAAAAAGTTTGCCAGTCTTCTTCTTCCTCAGCTCAACGCTGACAACCCCAACAGCTTTTCCAATACGAAGAGTCCTGGCCTCGATCTCAATTTCCTCCTAATATCGCGTAAGAGAAAATCATACATGAATATCATGTTATGCATTGCATGCAACAGAACAAGAATTTCCAACAACTTAATCCTCAAACTACACTGCGTTGATCCTGAACATACTACGTCTTGTCGAAGATATTAACCATCAGGCATTTCAATGGTTGAGTAAACATAAACATTTAGGTACGAAAGGTTTGAAAAGCTTGTAAATGACAATTGTCAACCTAGGCTATAATTAAATGGAAAGTGGCATTTAGAGCCAACTTCAGCAACAAACTCAATTTGATATTACTACAGTCAAGTGTCAGATTCAAAGTCTGCATCTTTCATGGTTACTTCCTCTGAAAGCTAGATTATTTGTCATGAAATACTTAACGTTTAGAAGAATACGGTTCCACTCAGAAAGATTCCTTCTTTTTCTAGCGTAACAAAGCTTGGAGTCCGCAAAGTTATGACTTCATGGGTGACATAAGAACAGAGAAGAGAGAAGCACCATGCTGGAAGAACCCAATGAACTAATCTGAAGATCCACTTTCTTGAGTAATTTGATACCGTAATATGTTTCTTTTGATAAACGGCTTAAAAAAACACAGAAATTTGAATACTGGAGTATAGAAACATTTTTTCTTGGTTGAAAGACCATGACGACCTTCGCAGCCTATAAGGAACAAGCTCACTAATGCTTTAGGATAAATTACAAGACCTTGTCCAAACCTCTGTATCAGTGATTTGTCAAACAAAAGGGGTCACGTTTCGAGCTCACGAAAATGGGATCTTCCACTAGAACCAAGGACTTTTTTCCCTGGGCATGCTGTATATAAATTAGCATTTTTATTAGGCACTGCCCATGTGTCAGTAGAGTAATAAGCAAAGAACTATTTAGCGGTCAAGGACAGTAAGAAAGATTAAAAGGTGAAGCTAAGGAAGCACAGAACTATTTGGTGGCCTTTCTTTCTTTATACCCAGTGCCATATATTGTGCGCAATGATGCATTGGAGACTTTAACCCCCCGAGTCGTTGCAATTTGGCTTTAGCCTTTCTTTCTTTATAACGAAGAAAAGAGAAGGTTTATCTTCTTACTTCAGAACTTGGCGGGAATTTTGAAGGGAGTGGAGTGAGGTAGAGGTGAATGAAGGGATGAGCCAGAGTGGCGCGGGCCAATACGTTGAAGGGAGTGGGTTATCTTCATTGATTGGAAGTTCATTTTAAAAAAAAAAAAAAATATCTCGATCCTCACTAACTAAATATTACAATATCACTTGAGTTCACAGTGAGTGGGTTTGAAAGGTGAAGTTAAGAGGGTTTGCTTTAAAAAAGAAGAAGCAAAAAACTAGGAACAATTCGGACTGGCTAGAACCATCTAATTTGGAATGATTTCACAAAACTTGAGAGCAGAATAGAAGCAACTATTACCAAAAAAATCCTAAAACAAAACAGAATATTCTCCCATTTAAGCATCACAAAAAAAAAAAAAAAACATCCCAGTTCATATTTATATAAGTAACAAAGCAAATGTTAGTACCAAGCAATAGAATAGGAAAGATACTCACGTCGGCATAGGCAGCATCCAAGTATGAAACATTGATCTCCACCGAAACTCCTAATCGCGGAGCTCCCGAACTGCGAATTGCAGCTGTCCCAACCAAATCCACTAACGTTGCAGTCACACCGCCGTGCAAGGAATTACCAGCATTCTAAGGACGGAACAAGAAAAAGCAAAGCAAAATTAAGCGATCGAAATTATATAGTAGTTCAAAGAATGCAGGGATGACCCCAAGTATGTGTCAGTACAATTAAACGTTGGGGTATCTTCATGGAGCAGAGGACGCGGCCAGGCTCGATTAGATCGACCTTGATGCTGCTCATGATCAAGGGTTCCCAGAATCTGGTAGGTAATCCATCAGCCAGTGATGCGTTTTCGCTTCTTTGCTCTAAGTATTTCCTCGCAGATTCCAAATCCTCACTCATATTCTGCTCCAATTCGTCTCTCCCCCAAAGAATGTCTGTCCTCACCATCAATTAGTTTCATTAAAGTTGGTATTTTGGGCCAGCAACGTATAACCAGGCTTAATAAAATGATAATTTTTTATTGTTTGAGTATATCCATCTGCCCCAAACAGGCACAAAAAATTCAGGCCAGATTAAATTCAAACTTGGCTCAAATATTTAAATAAAAAAATTAAATTTTAAAAATATAATAAATATTAATTAATTTTTTAATTTTTATATCATTTTATATTAAAATACCCATATATTTGAGTGCATTACTATATTTATTTTTTTAAAAATTAAAATATTTATATTTTTAGTATTTTTAATTAATAAATATCTCAAAAAAATATTTAAAATATATTTTAATATTTTTTTTTATTTTTTAAGAGCTATATCATTTAAGTATTTAAACAGATATATTATATAAAAATAAAATAATTAAATTTAAGATAAAAAATAAATTATAAGTAATTATAAAAATGAAATTTGCTAATTTGGGGATGTAATAATAAATAGATAATACCATTAAATAATTATTTAGTAATCGTCCACCCTAAATTTGATCTAAAATTAAGAATAAATTAAATTAAAAAATTTATTGTATGTAAGGGTTAAACAATATAAAAATTTGAAGAAAAAACAATTCCATAAAAAAGCCACACTTTACATATAATTAAATAATTTTGTCTTATATGATATAATAATGATTATTTTTTTCATATTTTTAACAACAAAAAGTATAGTTTATTCAAAAGTTATTAAAAACTTTGAACCGTAATGATTTTAAGTTAGTAATATAATCGTAATTAAATCGAAGTTAATTTAATCATAATTAAAATATATAAAATATTTATATATAATCATGATAAAAGCAATATTTAAACTATTAAGATATTAATTTATAAATAAAAAAATATTTATAAATAAATTATATATAATACAACAAATTAGTAATAGAGTTATTTAAGTACAAAATTGATAAATTATTATTTTTATTTTATTCTTTTAAAGTTAAGATAATATTTTATGCTTAACAGAGTTGCTTAAAAATTGAAATTGATTCAAAAATTTAAAAAATATTTTTGAAATATTTTAGGTGGTTGAATAAGCTCGAAGCTTGAATGTGATAGGGCTAGATTTAGTTATATGAGTTTTTTTATATAAGTATGATACTTTAAATATAATTTAAATACGTTTAATTTAAATAAGCTCAACCTACCTCAAATTATTAACTCTTATATTTTGTCCACTCTATACATACATGAGGAATGTCAGGCCCGCTTGGGTATTTAACTTTAAGAAGGATTTTGAGAATTTTAGGAAGTTAAAATTATTAGGTTTTTTTTTTTAATTCAAAGTCTAATCCAAAAGTCTTTTCAAAAGATTTTTAAAAGTCTTCTTCCTCATCATAATATGTGTTGTTTTTTAGCTAACACTTGGCAAAATTACGTTTGAGGGATAACTATTTATTAGATTTAATAAAAGCACATCTTAAATATAAAAAAGCTTCTGAGATGTGCTTTTAAAACATGACCAACCTTTATTTTTTACATGACCCTAATACCCATATTTTTATACAAAGAGAAATTGTATATAAGTTTTTGATAGATTAAATTAACGATAGTTTGGTTCCTAACAATTTTTTGAAAAAAAAATTGTAACAAGACATTATAAAGACTAAACAATTAATCATGTTCATTTTCAATATTAACGTTATTGAATTATTTATATAGTTTTTGTTCACTAAGTGAAACTTTATATTGTTTTATCTTTATTATTTAATGTATCAAATTTTATGTTCTTTAAAATTTTTTTACATATAGTTTTCAAATATTTTTAATATGAAGCATTTGTATAATATAAATTATAAATCATATTTTTTTTATAATTATACATTCAAAATCACTTTTTACTATACAAATTTAAATAAATTTCTATTTAACAAACTAGCTTTTAAAAAAAATATATCCAAATACAAATTTTATTATAATAAATAATTTTTATTAAAGTGATTTTTATTAAACAAACTTTTGATAAATTAACTTTTGTCCAACCAAAAACCAAACATGCACGTAACTGATCACTTGATCACATTCTTAACTTTTATTTCTATTTTACAAAACACAAATTTGAATGAAGTTAAATCTCCTTTTAACTATAGATTTTTTTATCACAATAAAAGATAAAATTTCCGCAATTTAAATTAATTATGTATAATATATTAATTAATTATACGAAATTAAATATTGTCACTTGACTTGATAAAAATTCTCAAATATATACTTTTTACGGAGGCAGGTGGGAAAAGCTGTTTTTATATTAAAAAAAATTAAAACATAATATAATTTTTAATTCCCATCTCCTTATCAATTACTTTGGGGACGCACTTAATATTATATATTTAATCTACTTTTATTCGATTAAATAAATTTTAATATGTTAATATTATTAATAATAAAGATTTATTATAAAATGAATAATTTAGCAATGACACATATCTCTTAATTTAATTTAGTTAAAAATAAATAATTTAAATATATATGTTTTTCTCTTACCGATTTAATTTTTAAATTAAATTTATCTCACTACAACCAGTCATTGTAATTTAGTAAGTTAAAAATCAATATTTACTGTAAAATGTATACATGGTATTGTTTATCCACAGTACCATGGTTTTTTTCTTTGTTTTTAAAATTTGATTTTTGTATAATAAAAGTTTATATGGAACTTATAATAAAAATTAAAAAAAATATATGTGGGATCCATGGTAAAAAATTCTTATAACTATGAGATTCATAAAAAATAATTTATATGAGATCTAATATTTTTTTATAGATGTAGAAGATTTATTATTTGTTGCTTGTATTTTGTATATGTATTAGACAATTAATGTATATAACATACAAATTAAAAAAAAAATAAGTGTGAAACCCATAGTAAAAAATGCTTGTAAATATGAGGCTTATAAACAAAAAATATGTATGAGATGTAATATTTTTTTTAGCAAATGTAGGGGATTTATCATTTATTGCTTGTATTTTATATATGTATTAGATAATTAATGGTTAAAGTATACTTTTAGTCCGCTAACTTTATATAAAATTTTAACTCAATCCTTTAATTTTATAAAGTATCTTCTTAACCTTTTAACCCTAACATTGTTAGTTGCACATGATTATTTTTTGTGTTAATCATTGTTATTTTAAAAAAAATTAAACTTAATATATCAATATTTGAGTATATTTTATTAATATTTGAAAGTTTAATGTAAAAATTTATTAGATAAAATTAATAGTGTTAAGGTTAAAGACTAAACTTTATCAAGTTAAGGGATTAAAATAAAATATATAAACTTAAAGAACTATATGTATACTTTAATCGATAATTAATTATATGTAACATACAAATTTAAATAATAAATTATAAACAGAATATTTTATTATTTAAATCAATCAACTTATTTCCATTTATTTTTTGGGTAAAAATTCCCGTTCATTTTTATATGAGTAAATTTTAATCAAAAATTAATTAATCCTAATAATTATGTCTAGCAAAAAAATTTTGGATTAAGATGTACTTGTGATTAACATTTAATTTTTTTTCTAATTAATGATACTATCATTTAATGAATAGTAATTAAGAAAAGATGTCATAAATACTTTTTGAAAATTATTTGTTTTCTTATAAAAAAAATAACAAATTATATGAAAATTTTGCTTATATTTAAAAATTGAGGAAATATATAGTAAAATTTGTTAGTAGATTATATATGATAAAATTATAGTAATTTTGTGAGATAATGACTAAAACAAATTCTATCACTTAATAAGTGTTACATACAGTACAATAATAATTGTTCAATTTAATTGAATTGTTGTAAGATATTTTGTCATATATGCTATCTACTTTTTTTTTATTGTAAATGTGTTTGTAAATGTTAAATGTCAAACGTGTAATAAAAATATAAAATAAAAATTATAATAAAATTGTAAATTTAATTTTTACAAATTATAAAAATTCAAGTCTACATTCATTGAAATTTAGGTATACATGCATGGAAAAATAAATTATAGAATAAAAAAAATTTTTATAAAATAAATTGCTTATTTTTACACATAAGATGCATTTTTAATTTGTTATCCTGTACAATAAATTTTAAACTGGAATAAATTAGTATTCATATATTTAATATCCATGGGGTTATAAATTTTAGAATAAAGTACCTTGGTTATTTTTAGAAGGAAAATGAAACTTTAAGTTCATCAAATTTACTTTATTATTAATTTATTTTCTCAAATTTAATTTTTATTAATTTAATTCCTTACGATTTCTTAAGTTATGACTTCAATATTTTAGGTTTTAAAACAAAAATTGATCATTAAATTAATATGAAATATAATTATATATAGTTAAATGGGAACAAATTTGTTTTCAAATCAATTTTATTTTGTCATTAATTTACATGACTATCAATTCAATATTTTTTGTTATCTATATTAGCAAATTTTAGTTGTATATTACCTCTTCTTCAAACAATAAACTTGAAAGATTAAATTATTACTAAAACAAATGTAAAATATTAAATTGTTATTGAGGTAAACTTGAAGGAGTTGAAGCAAATTTTATCATCCTTTTTTAAATATGCATTAGATAACAAATCATAAAGTAGAATGAGTTATAATCCAATTAGTCCTTTAAAAATAAACAATCTAATTTATTCTCCTATTGACAGTAATTATATTTATAATACAATTGAGCATTAAACATGCATGCTTCTCCCAACAAAAAATAATTTTTATTTTTCTTTTGTTATATATAACCAATACTAAAATAAAATAAAATGTTCATACAACTTAAAAAAAATTCTAAAACAAGGTATGTGTTTTAATTTTTTTATTATATGTTTTATAATTTTTAATTTACATGGATTTAAGAATTTACAAATTAAAATAAATTATTGTATACATTTGATTACGTATGGCATAACAAATTTTATGATAAAAAAAGTTTTTTTATTTTTATTTTTCAATCACAAATATGTTGGGGAAATAAAAATATATAGTTAATTTTTATTATTATAATTATTTATCTATAATCACATATACAATTTTATTTCACACTTTCTATAAACTATTATTCTTATCAAATTATCAAATTAATATTTACTCATATTTAACTTCTATTAATTTTTATAATTCATTTGGATCAAAGAAAAAGATTTGGGGGCGGGATCTTATATTTTGATAACCTCAACTTTAAAGAATGGAGAATTGTAATTAGAAAGTTTTAAATTAAATTTTTTAATTTTTTTCTTTTATGTCTCTCAAATAAAATTTTATAACATAATTATCTATTTTCAGAAAAAAAATAACTCATTAAAATATTATCTTTCCTTTTTTATTTAGTTTAAATAAAAAATGAGGATTAGATAGCATCTAATCTAGTTATAAAACTAAATTGTAACAAATCAAAAAAGATAATAAAGACAAAATTGCTTCAAGCAAAACACTAATTAGATTGAGTTGTCTCAAGTAAAATTTCATAGAACGAATCAATAATTAAAAAAAAAAATCAGAAGTTATATATTCCAAAAGATCAAATATAATAGAAGACAGATTATAATACAGCATTTCTTACTAAATACTAAATGACAGGAATAAATGTATAAAACAATTCATAATTCTTAAATAATAAAAATGACTAAGCATACAGATCATTGTTGAGGGCCTTTACTGGAAGAACACGAAAACTGAAATCAAGACCCAAATCAAATATACTCTATCCTTCTGTGCTAGCAAATACTTGGAAGTCAAGACCGGACTAAAAGCCTTACAGTAAAAGCAAAACAGTAAACAAAAATAAAATAAAAAGAGGAGGACAAAAACTAACTAATTCACCATTACATTCTACCGAGTTTACTGTGAAATTTTCTAACATAGAAACCTTTCTCAGTTAGTTTTCTTCTCCTCCTCCTTAGCAGGATCTACAGCTGCGGCAGCATCTGCGGGCTGATCATCTTCACCACCAAAACCAAACTCATTAACACGCTTCTTGTCCACCGGATAAATCCACCTTTGATATAAATATATGAGAAATATAACATCTGCAAAGGAAAGAAAAAGAGTAAAACAAGTTAATACAACAAATGTGGCCATCTCACAAACTCACTTGCGCAGAAAAAACCAAATTTTAATATATCTCGAACAATAAATCAGTTTAATGATTAATTCCAAAAAGATGACTCAAATTTTAAATTGTAATGACAAAAATTAGTCCAGTAGTAAAGTGACCGATTGTCTGATGATGAACCTTTCAGCTATGAAGCAACACCAGAAGTCGGTTAGAATGGGGTAAGGAAATATAAACCACAATATAGATGCAACCAGTTGCATGATTTATCCTTTTAGTTTCGTGTTCCTCACAGACATAGCTGAACCATCTTTTCAGTTTCAAAAACTCTCATTTTGAAAAAGTAAACTATGTCCCTGTCTCATGGGACATGCTTTTACCAACAAAACCTAAGCTCCATCTACATCTTAGAAAAGGTTCTAGGTCCACATTTAACAGTTCTTAGCCAAACCAAAATTCAGTACTCTATTATAGATCAGAGTAGAAACTAAAGTGGATGCTGCTACAGACATTTCACAAGTTGCAGAATATGTTAAGTTCAAAAATAGATGATCCATTAACTGATGAGAAGCCAATCTTACCATCGCGGAAAACAGATAGCCGATGTAATGCTGGCATCTTAATGACAAAAGCAAAAAGATCATCAATGATTGTGTTGAGAAACTTGTAAGTCATCTGCCTCCAAGGAAGATGAGCAACAGATTTAAGCTTGTAGTTGATGAACAATTGAGGGCACATCATGATAAAACCTGCAGCAATTTTTCATCACAAAGTGAAGATATTACAAATTTTGTAAACCAAGAAACTTATTGACCATGAATATGAGAAAGAGAGCTTTATGTTTCCCCTGGTACTCTGTTGAGTAGCAAACAACAGCATTTTACTATGGAAGGGTATCGACCCATTATTTTATTTTGGTCCAAACATAAAGAAAAGGAAGCAACAGCACATTTTATACAGATTTATTCTAACAAATTTCTCCAATAAGGAGAAATGATACTGCCTCAAGTAGGATTCACTTAGTCTTTACAATTGAAGACCTTGCACATTTAAAAGAAATGTTTAAAAAAACCTGACCAAGTAAATTGAAGACCATGCGCATTTTACTCCAGAGAAGAAAAGCAAAGCAAAAGAGATGTTTACAAAACCTGACCAAGTAAATTTGACTCTGATTCATTTACTACATTTTGCTATGTGAGACAGTTATAATCATCTTTGGGAGCCCATGAGGGAAAAAAAGGTCCATAACAATAGATTCATTCATCATTAAAAAAAATAATAGATCACAAGCTCCCTTGGCAAAATGCTTCATCCCAAATTTAGGACATTCTCAATTAGGATAGCATGAAGATTAAAGCAGAATCCATTTAGTCATTAAAGTGAGGGGACAAAATGAAATTACGTTTAACTTCATCGTTAACCTAATTTATTTAGTGACACTTGCATCTTGCTTTCATTTAATCTCAGGCAGTGGATTGATTAACACGATAGGACTCACCCAAGCATATGGTTCAGCTGAGCTCTTTTAAAAAGAAAAAGGAACACATATTCAGTTGTTAATGATCTATTGCCTACTTGCTCAGCTGCAAGTTGCAACCAACTTATAACTTCCTGTGCTGCCATTTGCCACTCGTAAATGAAAGATCAACACAGATGAAAGATTACTTACCAAACATGTATACACAGCTTGTGAGTGAAGACAGAATCCAAGAATACCAGCTCTTGTGGCGTTCGTACTTCAATGAGTAAACAGAGAAGCATGCAGCAAGGAAAAACAAAACATAGGACAAATACTTCATTGCAATGTCATCATATTCTTTTGTCTTATTCCGTACATATGATTCTCGATCTCGGAACTTCAACATTGGTATCCTCCCCGTCCTATCAAGCTGGTGACAAAACAAAAAATATATATATTGCTGATTGCAGACATCCAATATGGAAAAATAACAGATCTTGAGCAGTGAAAGATGCAGATCAATCTAAATATGGAAAAATTAACAGATCTTGAGCAGTGAAAGATGCAGATCAAGCTAGAAAGTAATTTCAAACATAGCCCTAAAAGCAAGAACAATCAGAGGTTTTCCATTGTTCCAGAAAAATAATGTGAAAACATCAAAATGCCACAAACAATATCAAACAATGGTCAGCGAGAGACAATGCAGAATTGGAGATATCATGAACCACGTGCCATCTTAATATTCTCTGTATCAGTACACAGTCATCAATCATGCTCACATAGAAAATACAATGTGAAGACTACAGGAGATACCTCAATATGCATGGCTTTTCCAATTTTCCAGAACTCAATTATGCAGCCAATGCCAGAACTTGCAAGTATCATCCACGAAGTGTCATTGTCAAGCAGATAAAGGAATACAATAAGCTGAGAAATAAAGCTAACGACAACAGATTTTGCAGAGAGTCCTTCCATAGACTTATTTTTGTTCCAAAATTGGATATCTGTAGAAGATAACAGAGTTGTTAAAATAAGCTATGTCATCAGAGTTTCCTCATTGGCGTTGCTTTCATTAAAATAGTTGATACAAAATAACTCACCATTCTTGAAAGCCAAAAAGTCAAAAACTGAATGAAGCAGAGAAACAACCATGGTAACCGCCAGGAGGTAAGGATTTCCTTCCAAGAATACCCTCTGATTGAAAAAACAAACAAATAATTAATGAAATCAATTCATCAATTCACAGAAGACAGATGCACAACCAACAGAGAAGTTTCTTTCGAGCCACTAGAAACTCCCTCTAAAAACCATTATCTGTTACAAAAATAATGATTTATGGCATGAATGCTGCGATACTAATGGACCAAGGTAAAGCCAAAGAGAGATAATGATGAAATCAAAACCATCAGGACAATATTCTGACATGTAGCTGTATCTACAATTGAAGGGCAAGGGGAAAATGCCTTTAATGGTTTTAGGAACATCGCAAACTGAGATGCACATGCCACAATGCAGAATAATAATGAAATCAGAACCAAAAGATAGTCAGAGATCAAGGATAATCTTAAATGGTAGAATTCATCAAGATAAAATAGAGGTACGGTTGCAAATAAGTGAATATAGAAGATAACGATGAATAAGATTTAAATGGCAGCTTATAAAGCATTTAGGTAGTTGCAATAATAAACCTTGTCTTGGAATATCAATCCAAAAGATTGAGCCCTTAACATCATGCACAATTTTTAATTAAAATAACATTTTCATAGGTCACCTAACATCTAAAACCTCATGTGAGACTAATTTAATAAATTCCTTAGGTAAATTTCTAGGCATCAGCTCTAGCTCTAGGCATTTGCCGGCTAATGCTCTATGGGACATACAAGTAATCCTTACCCCATGCAAAAAAACAAGGGATACTTTGGGAATGATCTTCAATAAAAGAAGGCTTACCCCCACCCAAAAAAGGATACTGTTGGAGTAATCTTTCAATAAAAAAGACCTCGATTTAAAAAGGGGAAACAGGTGATAGGATCCCATATCCTCCTGAAACATTAAAGAATTTTCATTTTTAAAAGGGTAAATGGGGGACATGCTCTCCTAGACTTTTTATACACACCAGACACTACCTCTTTTAGTAAAATTTCCTCCTACACTGCACTACAATTGTAGGTGTAAGCACACGAACAACAATGTAAGTGATGAAACAAAAGATGAAAAACAGAGTAAAGGACATGTGATGATACCAACTAATAGAAAGATGCAGTCGCGGAATTATTAAAAGGAAAAAAAAAAAAAGCTAAAGAATGTGCAGAAATGTCAGGTCATTCAACACTCGACATGCATGGCCTGTCAAATAAGTTCATGATACATTATATATCAAAAGGCAGAAATCGATAGTATGAAGTTTGAGCCATCACTGGAAATTTCTACAAACACATACCTTCAGCTCATCACCCTCTCCTTCAAGCATGCTTCCATAACTACGGTGAATCTGAAAGGACTGATCAATCTGCAGGAATAATTGCCATTTTGTCATGCTAATGGGGCCTACCTCCATATGAAGAGGTAACTCGGTTACCGTCTCATTTATAGGTATCAACTTATCCCTCAGTAACCAGAATTCATTGAAAAAAACAATTGGATAGTAGTTCTCTGAGATAGGATCAATGTTCAAGTCTGGACACGCAAAATTAAGGAAATTCAGTTCCAAATCTGCTAACCTGCAGTCCATACTCCATAGTGAAAAGATCACAACACAAGAAAAGACCAGCACAACCGTAAAAATATCTCAGCATATTGAAATTGTCAAATAAGGGATCTAAAAATTGAAAAATAAAAATAGAAACGTACTATCTGCAAGTTTTTTATTGGTAAGTATCAATTGCACTCATCTTGAGTAATAAGAATACCATTCATTTTAAAACTGAAAAAACATCAAGGCCAAAATTAATAAAAAAAATAAATGCACATAACAAAAGATGGAAAGATCAAAGGGATACGTGGAGCAATATTTGGTGGGACACCCTTTTTTGGGTACCTGTAGACAAGGAAAATGATAGCAAAGTTAAAACACAGCAAGAATCATGGAAACTAATTCTTTTGCAGGCCAATCAAAAACTGAGAGTAGAGGATCAAGAAGATAGAACCAGCAGACCAGTAAAGAGAAGGAATCATGTCAGTCAATTTAAGTATTCATCTATAAATGACTGGTGTATATCTCCTTAAGTAAAGGATGTATCGGTAAAGAAAGGTCCAAAATCAAAGGATTAAATGTTTTCTCCCAAACATAACTTGGTTAAATAAGTATCCAACATCAGAGTCAAAGGCATAAGGCACCTCGAGGTGTCAGACCTGTAAAATGCTTGAAGTGAGAGGAACAAAAAAGGTATTCACCTTGGAAGGAAGACCTGTATGCATCTGCTTGTGCTTTGCGAATTGCTATCAATTTATATAAATATTTTAAATTCAAAACTTCTGTGTTTTATTATAAAATTTCACATCTTATATTCATATCTTGGATATAAAACTTCATGCTAAGACTGAACAAAGACTACAAGCGAAATGCCAATGATAGAAATGTCAACTCAATATTGAAAACTGGCAACTTCATGCTCTTAAATAAATGTCAATTCTAAGACCAAAAGATTGTATCCCAGATGTAGGAATCCTAAACATGGTCTTCACTGACATTACACACTCTATGACCAAAAACAAATTGGAGCTCAATTAATTTGGGCCAATCTTAGCAAATGGGAGTCAAGATGATGCAAAAGGTAACAAATGGGATATTGCTAAATAAATCAAACTTTTAAGATAATGGTCTCCAATGAAACCAAAGGCCAAAGGAGTGCTCAATATTTCTATTGTCATTAAAGAAGGCCCTTCCTTTTGACAGGCTCTTAGGTTGATCATCTAGTGCTAAACAATTCCTTCCAGGATAGTGATCACTGGTCAGAATTTCATGAATAGATTATGGCGAAGCAGTTTCAAACAACAGCAAGAAACATACCGTGTGAAGTCATCAACCAAGTTTATTGTAATATTTGGTCTCCAATAAGAAACCCACTCCACAGGGCCATTGTCCTTTAAATTATCTTGGGTGTCATCAACCTCAGATGCCATTTGACCCTCATTAGAATCTTCTGAATCCCCCAAGAGGCTCCTTCTTTTATCTGCTTTTGACTTTGGCAAGTATGTCACAACAGCTGAAATCCATGACACGAGAGAGCCTTTGTAAGTCAAATTTAAAACTTATACACCAAGTGACTTCACGTAGTGGAAAGCCAAAAATCTTACCATATGTCCTTCCAAATGCTGCTTGAGGCTGGTATTCTGGGTCATTTGGGTCCGGTGAATATCCAGAATGTGCAAAGAAAACATGAGCATATAGGCTCCCATTGTGCTTCAGAGCCTGAAAAATGAATACCCAATCAGGAAATCTACTATAACATTGAAGTTACTTGAAACACTCATCAATTTATACAATTACGGCTAAGCCACTAAGCCAAGATTAATATAGTAAGAAGCAATTCCAATCAGTCGTACCTCAGACGGGCGATACTTCAAAGAAAGAGATCGGGTACTCTCAGGTCCCCAAACAGCATATGGTATATTGGTTTCATGCCACACAAGAGCACTTTCACTACCAAAGTCATTGAACTTCTCGTGCTCTGAGAGATATAACCACATATCCTGAACAAAGTAGCATTTAAAAAGAACTTGAGTATGAAAACAAAGAGAATCATGATTAAGGAAAGCCTTTTATTTATACCATGGAAGAACTAAGTTACAATAGGTTGCAATATAAATTTCAGAGAAAAACAAGTCAGATCCGATGGTCCTTTTGTATGTAAAGAACTTTTTTTTCCTCGTGTAAAATTACAAATGCTTTATTTTGAGAGTCAAATCCTGAAGAAAAGGATACCCAGCAAAGCTTTCCACCAGGCAACTTTAGCAAGGTTTTAATATTAAAAGTATCAGCCGAGTTAAGATTAACACTCTAGCATGTAAATAGCATATCTTCAAAAGCTCAATTTAAATCACAACAAACCCAATGAAGTTGCATGAGATGTAAATAAGTACATTGTACTATAACAGCAAGAACATTGTACACTTTCAAACATGGTAAGATGTTGGTTTGAAGCATGGATTATATTAGGTGTGTGTTTTCCTTAGAGTTGGGTAAAACAAAGTTTGGACAAATTGATTTATAAGCATGATTTAGGGCAAAATTAATTTAGTCAAAACGCAGAAGCATGTGGAAGCTACTTATGAGACTCAGTGGTTGAGGGGTCTCACAATTGATTTAATCAAAATATGGATAAATTTTTTGAAAACCACATTTTGATATTTTAATTGTGACTTTTTGGGCACTAAATAACATAGATCTATAAATCAGAGGTGTTGGTAAACAAGTGGCCAACTTTATAATCAGTTTTATGTGGTCGTTTGACAGCAGCAAATATCTTAGTTATTCAATGTCAATGACTATAAAGCCAATATTTGCAGGATACCAAAAGAATCTACGATTTTCAAGAAGCCAGAGAAGACGAGAGGCGAGGAGTTAGACCCTAACGAAAGAAACGAATTTCGTAGAAGTCGCAAAAACTTATACAAACTTTGTATGAGATATTGTAGTTAGCATACAACTAACTGAATCAGCAAGCGAAACAACACATACATCAAGCGGTGTACCTGCGTAAGGCATCCAGATGCCACTCAACATCATCTCTTACTACAACCGTAAACCTTTAGAACAGAGATACTCGTTAATTAGGAAGGGAAGTCGCTACTTTAGAATTATTGGAATGAAAAATAAATGCTTTGACAATGATTAAAAAGTATAACATAACCTAACGTGAAGACAACGCGCGATTTAATTGCTACTGAGTATGGAGTACTCTAAATCTAGAAACAGCATCAGTCTATCAGATCGTAAAAAGGTGCTATGTAAAGACGCGTGGAGTTAAGAGACTGAGGGAGTACCAACGGTTCGCCTTTCTGAAAGAGATTAGACATGAGAGCAGTAGGTTCGGTGGGTCTCTTGGGAGAGAAGAATTTGGAAGCGAAATACCAAAAGACCGCCATCCGAATAATTCCGGTGATAGTTTGGCCGAAGCCACCTTGTTGTTGCTGTCTCCCCTGGGGCCGTTGGCCTCCTTCTACTGCAGCGGTCGTCGGCGGCGCCATCGTCGGAGAGTTGATCCCTCTCCGCTGCGGTGGCCGAGGTACAGAGAAAGAGAAAGAGTGGAAGTAGCGGGTGGTGGAATCGAAGTATCGAAATAATATATGCCCCAAGCTCAAGGGAAGGGAAAGGCGGAATTTGCAGAGATATTTTGGAGAATAAGAGAAATATAAAAATTGAAAAACGGATCGCACAGAACATCTGTGAGGCGGTGAGCCATAGTGCAAATCGCAGGCCCCGCGGCCGCAAGCTTCTATATTAACAATATTACCCCTCTCTATAAAAATATAAAATATTTTTTAATTTTTTAAAATATAATTATTATTTTTATTAATAATAATTTTATATTTATTATAAAAAATTTAATAAAAATAAATATAAAAAGATAGAGTTAATTTAAAAATAAATAAGTACTTTATTAAGAGATAAGATTGAGTTAGAAATGTTCTACATTTTTAAACGGAGGAAGTAATATTTTTTTCTAAATATTAAATATTAATTATTAAATATATTATTATTAATTGAAAAAAATTATTATTGTTATTATTAATCCTCGGATAAAAGAGCAATATATCTCTTAAATTATATGTGGAATGGCATCCAAAGCTCCAAGCTGATGTATTATGTAATTTCTTCCATTAGTTTTTAAATTTGTAGCAACTAAGCCCCCAGTGTTAAATACAAGGAAACGATAATTACTTTTTAGATGATGGGGCTTACGTACATACTAACGTGGCCTTCATATATGACAATCCTCTTCTTCTCTTCCCAACTCCCGCAAATGGCCAGAGGTGCTTTTGTGAAGCATGTAGCTTAACACCCGAAACAAATGCACATCACTCTTGCCCTACTGGAACTCTGAAAAAAAAAAAAAAAATCTTTGACCTTTTCTTCAACCTTGGTGGGTGTTTGTCATTGCTCACTCGTGGAGCCATTTCACGAAGATTCTGAACTCATGTTTTCAGAATGGAGATCACAAAGAAGTCTCATGTTGTTGACATAGACAATGGTCATCGACGTAGTAGCTTCATCGATGGCAATGGCAGTGACGAGCATCCACATGCTGCCGACAGTGAAGATAAGGATCAAAGGTCCTCCCACGATGCTTCTGGTGCTGAGGTTGTGAGAGTGTCAGAAAGAGAGAGGGTGTCCCCTGCATCGGAGTGTTCAGTGGAGGTGGGTTTGGGGAATGCGATCACAGAAGTGAAGGTACATTCAAGTGAGGTGAAGATGGATTGCAGTATTTGTCATCTTAGTATGGATATGACTAATCATAAATCTGGGAGCATTGAGCTAGAATGTTCTTCCAAGGATGATTTGGTTGCTGCTCTCAAGCTGAGGCTGGTTCAAGATCAAGGGAAACAAGTACCTCGTGAAACAACCTTAGACGTTGTTCATTAAATCTGGTGTACCCTATTGACCCATGCTCTTGATGTTAAGAATTATTGTGAGAATGGTTTTGGCACTATGATTCTTAGATAGCTGTTAATTCTGAGATGGCACCTCATGTAGAGGTGAAGCAAAAGAAAAGCAAGGGATGAAGAAAAGCTTGTTCTCTTTGTCATCTTCTTTGCCACAGAGCAACTATATCAGTTTAGCGACATATCCAGAGAAAACAAGAGAGAGGGAGGGAGGGAGGGAGGGAGGAATGTGCATCAATCATAGAGTGTAGCAGTGATAAGGGAGAAAGGGAAGAGAACAAGAGGTGAATTGTCAAATATAAATGCCACATAAACGCGTAAGTGATCCCCACAATCTAAAAAATAACAGTTGTTTTTTATATTTAACGTTGAGAGTTAGCTAATACAAATGTAAATATTAAGAAAAGAAATTGCACAATATATGAGTTTAAAATTTTGGATGTCATTCATCAAATAGTTGACAGAGTATGTTACCGAATTATCATTACTTCTTTATCAACATTATCCATACAATTTGTGATATACTAGATTCATAGCTACGATGGAGTGCTTCTCTTTCAGGCCATGGTGTGTTTAGTTTTTCATTTGTTAAATACCTATTTATCCAAATTTATTTGTCAAAAATCAATTTAATAAACATTATAATAATAATAATATTCATTTCAATAAAGTATAATAAAAAAATATTTTAAATGTATAACAAATAAAAAGGATATAAGTTTTATGATGTGTAATTTTTATTATATAAAGTTTAATTTTTTAAAAACATACATAAATAATATAAATTTGATATAGTAAATAATATTTAATAAAATAAAGCATGGATAATATAAAATTTTATATGTTAAATAATATATACAATAAAAAACGTATAGATAATGCAAATATTTGAAATATTGGATAATGTATATTATATATGGTGGAATCCGATAGTAAGAAAGTGAAAACTCCCTCAATTGGATGAAAATATACAGGGCCGTTTTATTGAAAGTATCACTTGTTTTTTTTTAATAAAATATTTAATAATGAGAATCTTAAAAATATTTTCAATTAGAGAAAATATATGCGTGCAAGTCTTTATAGTTTTCCCAATTTTGAATTAAATCCGAGTCTTTTTTCTGTAAATATTTTAATACATATTAAATTTTTATAAAAATTTTAATAAAAATGTAAACATTGCATTAAATCAAATTTTATTTTTTTCATTTTGACCAAAAATTTTAAATCAATTTTTCTATAAACTCTAAAAGATTTGTTTAAGTTAATAATTCATTATTAATTTTAATATTTAAGGATTAACATGTCTAATGGATTAAATAATAAGTACTTGATTAAAACAAAATAAACTATAAATTTAAAAGTGAGGGAAACTATAAGGATTTACATATTAATTTTCTCTTTTAATTAGTTTGAGAAGTTACTTTCAAGGCTTGTTAAGTTTTTAATAAAAAAAATTCTTGTTTTTTTAAATCTATTTATTAAAATTGTACTATATTTGTTAAAACTTTTAAAAATAAACAGAACATGAAAAATAATATGATGTGATAAATGAGAGAGAATGTCATAAAAATTTAAAATAAATAAATAAATAAATTCAAAACAAATAAATGAATTATAATGAATGGCTCTGCCAACTAATGATGAAGAATAGGCATCTCCTAATTAAGTTAATACATATATGAGGATTAAGATTTGAACTCTAAGAATGTATTTGGAAGTTTATAATTAAATAAAAAGGAACGATCATTAATAGAATGAAACGACATGGAGCGGGGTAGAGTGGAATAGAACAAAATTTTTTATTGTTTGAAAGTTTTATGATGGAAAGGAATGGTTTTACATTATTATTGTTTGAGAATTATTATAAAATGAATGGAACGGAATGGTTTAAAATTTTTTTTCTTTCAATATTACCAATATGACTAAATTTTAAAAAAATAATAATGCCATTAAATAATTATAATATTTATCTAATAAATAATAATAATAATAATAATAATTAATGGGTAAACAACATATTCAAAAATTAAGAATAAAAAGAGAAAGCGAATAACATAACTATTTAAGCAAGCACTCCTATTGCATAAGAGGAAAATACAACAAAATTGAAGTGTTGAAAGGCACGATGGAGAGAGATAGCAAGAGTGAAAGAAATATGGTGGGAGGTAAGATTATGCACTATGCCTAAATGTTCGATCAGCCCGACCTTGCTTGAAGTATTAGGGCATATGAGGCTAGGCATCGACAGGGATCAAACTTTGCTTTGCCCGAACACATGCAAGTTTTTTTTAAAATTTTTTTGTGAATAATATCTATCTTGTGGAATTAGTTTTTATTGAAAATTATCATGAATTATATTATTTTTATGATCTTTTAGACATTTTTTATTATTATAATTTTTTAAATCTCTTTTAAAATTTAAAATTTATTTTAAACTTATTATTATGTAAAAATAATTGACAATTGTTGTTCATTTAAACTTTTAAAAAATTACTTTTTATTTTAAAATTTTTTATGAAGAATATATTTTAAATAATAATAATAATATTTTTTCAAGGAAAACTTTTTTTATATATTTTTCAAAAAATACTTGTAAAAATATTGTGAAGCCAATTGGGTTAGCTTGGTGCTTAAATGCATATCAAGTTGGGCACCAAGCTAGGGTGATGCCTTACTCAACCCTGCCCATGTGCAATCCTAACATGAGGTGAAAGAGATGATTGAAGAATAAAAATGTCATGTAAGATTTTTTTTATTAGGATAGAAGGTTTGAAGTAATTTTGTAAATGAAATAATTATACTATGCCACTTCATCCTTGACCCCCTAATTTGGGGGGACAAAAATATTGAACTATGCATGGCAAATGAGGGCTTTAGAAATCCTTCCTTGCAATTCCATCCTTCTTTAAAAAACAAACTCAAACAATAGCTTATGTCTTTTAGTCATCTCACTCCATTCCATTTCCTCCTAAAAAAATCTCCTAAACATAGCGTAAAACATTTGTTTAAATGATGAAAATTTCTACTACTCATGCCAATTTTAGTTAGTAAAGTTTTCCCAATGAGGCTCAATTCAAAAGATTATTTAAGAGAATATACATTAATGCTATGCTTGGATAACACTTGGATTTAGATTTGAGTCAAATCCATTGTTTGAATAATTAAAAATGTATGGATTTGGATTTGACCTAAATCCAAATTCAAGTTCTCCCTTAATCTCTTTGTAATTTAAAATCTTTTCTAAACCCCCATTATTTCAAATCTTAACTCACGCTCTTTTGTAATTTAACCTAATGCATAAAGGCTTGATTGACCTGCTAACAATAATTAAACCGAACCACCAAAGTTGACGGAAATAAGCATCCACCGTTGATTAGGATGGGACGTTCGACTTCTATCGAGATCAGATCGACGGGGATGGGACGACCACTTCCATCAGGACCAGACTGATTGTAATGATAGGGATCGGACAGCCGACTTCCACTAGGACCTCACCAACAGCGATGACAGGGACTGAACTGATGCGGACCAGATGGCCAACTTCCACCTAGATTGAATAGATGATTATGACAGGGATCAAATGGCCGACTTTCATCGAGACTAGATCGATGGCAATGACGAGGACCAGACGACTAACTTTTACCAGCACCAAACCGACGACGATGATGAGAATCGAAAGTCAAACTTCTACTGGGCATTGGACCGATGGCGATGACGAGGACCGAAAGTCAAACTTTCACCAGGCAAGGACTGGACAGTCTCCTTCCATCGCCATCCCTTCAGTCTGGTTGTAATAGTCATTGGTCCAATCTAGTGCCAGTAAAAGTCAGCCATCCGGTCCTCATCACCGTTAATCCAGTCCAGCCTCGGTGGAAGTCAGTCCTCTAATCCTCATCATTGTAGTCGGTCCAGTCCCAATGGAAGTCAACTATTCGGTGCCTGTCATTGTTGGTTCAATCTCGGTGGAAGTTGGAGGCCCCATCCCGGTCATCACCAGTGCCACAATCCTAGTCAACTTTTTTTGTTTGATCCCATTGAAAGTTGGCCATTCAAATTGTCAAGTTTGACTAATCTTTCAAATTTCTTTTAAATTTAAATATAGAATTTAAAATTTAAAATTTTACTTTAGATCCAAACAAAGAATTTTAATATTGTAATTTGAAATTTTTTATATCATCCAAACAAAGAATTTAGAATCTATGAATTTTAAATGTGAGATTTTAAATATGAGATTTTAAATTCAAATTTTCAACTTAAATCCACCCATCCAAACACAACATAAAGTTAAAGATTAGAATATAGTGAAAAAAATTTGAAGTTTCTTTAATCAATTATGAATATATATCGCACAAATCTGACCATTGATATTAAAAGTAAGACAAACAAAACTTTAACATTAATAAATCATATGAATTAATCTCTTTGATCAGCCCAATACAAAAATATAATCTTGTATAGTAGTTCAGATGTGAAGGTGAGTAGCTACATGTAAGCCATTTGTTGCACATTAATAGGATAGCAATCAGAGATGGGTCCAGAAAAGGCCCTATGAGCAAGAACTTCATGAACTGCTTGGGTAGGATGAAAGGCATCCCAAAACACAAATTGGTCTCTGTTTGAGCATGGAACTGACAAAGGCAGACATGTTATTTGTCCTTGATTCCTCCCTACTCCACAACATGCTCTATCAACTACACTAAACCCTGTCCAAACAAATCCCATGTTTAGGCTCAGTTTGGTTGCAAGAACGAAAAGGAATACAATGAAAATTATGAGAAAAATGAATCATTTGGTCCACATAGTTTTTACTCAATTAATACTCTATCCTTAAACTTTAACCTGATTAAGACTTAATTTATAAACTTTGACCCTTACAATTGTGTGCCTATGGTTTTATCCTTTAAAATATTGGTCCTTACATTTTAGAAAATAAAATTATAAAGAATAAAGTTATTATCAAAGCTCAGGAGCTAATATCTTAACTTGATAAAACTATAAGAATTGAGTTGCAATTGAATTAAATTATAGAGAATAGTTGTATTGAGTTAAAATTTAAGAGCTAAATTACAATTGAATCAAAAATATAGAAACCAAATGATTAATTTTCTCAAATTAATGCAAAATATTTGGTAAGTGGAAAAGTGTTTTCTAGAAGGAAATGAAAAATGTACCTATCCTATTTTTTTTTTCCCGATGTACATCTATTTCCTTGCTCTAAAACACTGTTCCATGCAGCAAATATGTTATAAGGAGATGCATGATTCCTATTTTGGAATGTATGGAAAACATGGGCATGGGAAATGCACTTGTCATGGAATCTACTGTAGATTTATTGAGAATGTCTTAAATTTTCAGAGGCGAACAATTAGGGACATTTCTTACCATATGTGTTTGGGTAATTTATCATGTCACTGAAAGCTCCATAAGAGTTGCCATAGACATAAATGGACCTAGGGTGATCTGAATTAAGTTGTTTGACCAATGATTTCAACCTATCATTGAACATGGAAACTATTTCATTCACCAAAACATTGCATTGTCCTGGCGGTACAAGGCCTATGGCTAGTTGATTTGGTATGCACCCAAGTGGTCCAAGAGCTCCCAACAAGAATTTTCTTAGTCCCAAACCCTGCAAGTCCTGAAAAAAGGGAAAAAAAATCATAATTGTAATAACTTGATATTATCATATACGCATACTTTCAATATGAGAAAAACCATCTTGGAATTATTGTTATTAGTCTCTGACACTGTACCAAAAGTAACTTCTTGTAAAGGCCAATGAGGAGATCGGCATAGTCTTGAGGATTATAGATCAAGCTTGATCCATATAATTCTGGTAAGAGATAGTTATTTATGTAATCATTGCTTCCAAGGTGGACAACAACCAAAGACTTCGCTAAATGCTGACTTAGATTGTTGTCACCCATTTGGTTTCTCAGCTGCTTCAAGGTTGTTTCAAAATTCTGGACCTGTTGGCCAATGGTAACACGATCTCCCTGCAAATTACTATTCTTTAGTATTGATTACGATTTTTTCTTTTAAAAAAAAAGTTACTGTGAGAATTTAGCAGAGAGATTACCAGATTGAGTCCTGTCTCATCAAGAAAGCCAGCAGCTGCTGAAGCGTAGTTTATACCAGAAGAAACATTGCTTCCTTCTGAGAAAGTATTTGCAAAAGCTGGAAGATAAGGCAGACCCAACAATTCCCCTATAGAATGCAAACTCAATATTTATCTGATTTTGCAGTTCTAAAACCAGAAAAAGATAATCAAAACAAGAAAGAAATAGAAACCAAGTTATCTTTTTCTTTGGTTTTTCTTTTTACCAAGAAGATCTATTAGGGTCTTGCCATTACTGAATCTGCCAGAGGGACCACTCGGGAAATCGATTCCATAAGGAACATAGTTGGCTTTTGCTAGAGAGTTGAGGTAGTTGTTGTTGCCATTATCAACAAGAGAATCTCCGAACACAAACATCGCTGGGAAAAGTGGAGGAGAAGGAGTAGCCCCCACCACAACATTGCGACACACAAGTATCAAAAGGAGGCTCCAAAATGGCATATCCATGTCCTATCTCTGTTTCTTCTTCTTCTTCTCACATTTTTCAATAGTTGAAATCAGTTCGCTTTTATCCTGAGGAGAAGGAACTAACGGAAGAAATTACAAAAGCGTGATGCTTTTACTTACTTGCAAAACAAGAAACTGTTTGAATGATCACGATTTCTTGGCACTTCTCATGCTCTCTTTTGAGCTTTTTTGGGGAAGTTGTTGATGCCTAAAAAGTAACATAGGAAGTTCAAAGGAAACCACCCTTCCACATCAGTGTGCAATATGAGGTTTAGAAGTCTGAGTTCATTTGATTTGTAAAGCTTAATATGATGATCATAAATATTTGTGTCTAATATGACTTTTCCTCAATTAGATTGAGGGGGAAAGAAAGATGTATAATGGAAAAGGATACAGTAGTTACGATAATTAGAATCTGTACATTTTGTTAATTTTTGATCAGTCTGAATTTATGCCAGCAACAACTGCTTTTATGCAACAAGTTTTCTTTAAAAAAAAAAAAGCAAAGGAAAGAAAGAAAGCATAAAAAAATAAAAGAAATTAACTTCATGCATAATAAAATTACTTATTTTTAAGATTTCATATTTTTTTATGAACTAAATTAGTATATCTGACTAGATGGAGTTTCAGTTGAATCAAACCAGATAAAATTGATCAAAACAAACCAATAATGGAAGTTTATTTTTTATATCAAGATAAGATGTCTAAATACATAATATTTTCTATTAAATTAGCTCCACTGTTTTGATAATTTGAAAATGACCTAGTCAAAACGTGTCAATCTGTCTTCCCTCTGCCGACATTAAGATTCATCATTGTCAAGTTCCTTTTCTTGGTACGTCCACTGTTACCGGTATTTAACCAACTATAAGCACATACATACACGAGAGTCCAATCAATTTGAGGGATCAAAAGGGTCGGAATTATAAACATCAACCAGGGACAAATTATCAAAACAGCCGAGTCACCCAGGGTTCGGCTGCTACAGGGACTTTACACCTTCCTCATTTTACATAACAAAATCTGGCGGTACAAGTTAGAAAACCGGTACTACCCAGTAACGCCAAAATGCTCGAATGGATAAACTTCTGAGAAATTTAACATTGTACACGTCTACAGCTTTGTTCCCTTAGGGGATACATGAGTAAAAATAGACACTAAAGACCAGCTTAGCACAATATCCACAGCAATCTGCGGCAAATTTAGTTTCAACATTGGCATGTTGAATTAAAATAACCAAACCTGTGTAGTTAATGGGTTTGTGAGGGCAGATATCATACTTAGCCAGTTGACGAGGCTAATTTTCCCAGTACAGAAGTTTAATGAATGGCACAAGCTTCCAGTTACCCCGATCAACAGATGCATCTGGGGTCTATCTAATACATGTATGAGGAACTACGGCCAGGAAGAATGGGTGGCACATTGGTGGCCTTGGCAGAGCTGCTGGCCTGGAATGAGCCCCCTTCATAAATGGCGTCAGCAAAGCTATATAGATCAGAGGCACCAATACGACCAGCAGAAGACAAAGAAGGATGATCTTGCAAGCCTGCAAAACTCTCTACAGATGGTGACACCCCATACAGACTGCTTACTCGTGCTGATACAGGTCGCCCGACTAACCTCTCGTGAGATAATACAGATTCCCTTATTCCAAGCTGTCTGTAGAGATGGTCATTGGTATTCAACATTGTCCCAACATTGTCGACTACTTTATCACCGTGATATCCAGAAAATGAACCAGCTGTACCACCAATTCCAGCACCTATAAGCTTACCACCCCCTGCTAATGTACCTCCAAAGACACTATCCAGCAAAGGCCCTGCAGCAGATCCAAGTTGTACAGATGTTGCAGCGGGGTAATTATTTAAATGGCTAGAGGGTCTACTACTCAGCATATGTGCCGTCAATGAAACATCGTACAAGTTATTTCCATCCATGTTACTACTAATCCTTTGCTCTTGCAAGAAGGAGACTAGAGATGGATCTTTCACATTCAACCTTGATCGCTTTGACTCTGGAGCCTTCAATTTGTTTGAAGAATCATTTTTATCCATTTTTCTCTTTGACACCACCATGTCTTGGATTTTTTTATTGGCATCATCAATATCTTTTTCCAGGTTGCTTATCTTCTCCTTTAGTTTCGATCCAGGAAGAAATTCTGCATGATCAATTTTGTGACCTTCCAAACAATTTACTACAGATCTCAGAGCAGCTAAGTATTTTTCATCAGCTTGCTTCTGTGAAAGATCAAGATGTATTGTCATGGTTAATATTCATAAAAGAAAAATGCAACCAATAAAAAATGCCAATGCACTTAGCCCATACCAACGCAGTAGCTGAACCACAAGTTTCTTGTTTAGTTTTCTTCCAAGAATCTTCAGACTTCTGCAGATATGAAGTCAAATTTGTCTGAGGGGAAAGTTTTTCTTCAAATCCAAATATATATGCCAGGTCAACAGCTTCAGCAACCATTCCCTTCTTCATCAATCCATCAGCAATATCTGTGGCAATTATAAATAGCAAGGTTATATAAGGTTTAGGCTTCAGAACATTCAAAACCATCTTACTCATTTATCACCATTCCAGAAGAAAAAATTAATCAATCAGATAGTGATGCCACCAAATAATAATTGTCATGACCAATTTAGCATCCTATTCTGATTAGGAGAAAATCTAATTTTGTAAAAAGTGGATGTTGAACAAGAAGGTGACAGAAATCATAAAAATAAAGATAATAACTTTGGAGATAAAACAACTCCGCCACTGGAACTAGTAGAACTAATTGTGTCAACTGTTAATCCAATTGACACCTCTCATTACTTAAATAAGGCATGGGAAGTACTAACTAGCACAATAAAGCTTTAGGCCCTCAAATAGATGAAATAGTCCACTCGTCACACAGAATGGTAAAGATTTTAATTAACGCATTGCACAAACAAGCCTTAACAGCATAAGATACACAGAATGGAACTTTTTTAATTTCTTCTGCTATGAACTATCCTTAAAACTTATACTCTCTGAAAATATTTGCCTAGTAAGATGTTAGTTATAGGGTTGGGACCGGTTGAATGGAGTTTTCAAAAGAACTTGTAAAAAATATAAGGCCATAACTATGGCCTGTACGTATGTTATATCATGGTAAATGTTAGGCTTTAAAGGGATAGCAAGAGTATAAAATTGGACTAGCGGAGATGAGAATATTAAGATGGATGTGCCAGCATATACAAAAAGACAAAATCCGAAATGACCATATATGAGAAAAAGTTTGTATCTATTGAGAAGAAAATGGTAGAAAATCATTTGAGATGATTTGAACATATACAAAGAAGGAGGTGGGAGGCACCAATAAGGAGAGTGAAACGGATAATCTTAAGCCCTGTACAAACTAAAAAAGGTAAAGAAAGACAAAAAAAAAACTTATGGAAATTGTTGAACAAGACTTCTTAGTTAACAATATTTCTAAAAGCTTGGTCAATGACAAAGCATGATGAACCCACCTAATAAGATAAAGCTTGTTGTTGTTGTTATTGTTGTACGGCCATGGGACTCAGATCTAGGCAGGCAACGGATTAAGGATGTTGCCAGAGTAGTTTACATCAAAACTATCAGCATAAAACAAGGAAGCAAGCTCCAATAAGAGGTTTTTTTTTTTTTAGTGAAGGGGGGTCGTTGAGATTCCAATAAAACGATTGCAGCTTCTTGTCTCCCCAAATGAATCATATTAATTATCCACAGTATCATACTCATACAGTTAGAAAAAGCAGGGACTATCCCTTGGTCATCAGTTAGTTCTTAAACAGTCTTCACGGCTTCTTGCAAGTAAGGCATGTTTTCCAGGCAAGATTCAAGAACTGTTCATGACCTCAGCTATCTGCAAATCAAGTTGACTGAGGTATTGTTTTATTATATTGAATAATCCCCAAGAGCTGAATGGGACCTATGTAGATAATAAACTAACAATACCTTAGGCACTTAAGCTAAATGGAACTCTAGTTACGTGTAAATGGGCATTTCAACTTAACAAGACCTATATTCGCAAATCTTCACAAAATTGTTAGCCCAGTTACATGCCCTATAGATTCCATCCTATTGTCTTGGAATTCTAGTTCCAACCGATAATACTTTGCCTTTTCTTCTCATTACAATTCTTTTCCCCATTCTAATCAAACTAAGTGGGAATATATATAAATAATAGAATCATATAGCTTAGTAATAAAATTGTTGGAAATTGTTGAACATGATGCATAATCAGTGAGCCTCATGAATGCAATGAGGCCAATGAAATTATACAAAAAGCAGTACCTGAAACCTTCTTAAGAAGGCCACGAGACTGACGAAGGGCATGCATAATTTCCCTAGGATTGCTCAAACGAATCAAATCCCGTATCTCTTCATGCCTGAAACTAGCTGGAATACCGAAGCCACCAACGAAAAGAATCAAACCCCTTGCATCAATTTCACAAGCCTTTGAAACACCACCTTCGACGATCAGTCTTTTCTTCCAGGCAGTGGCAGCCAAGCTAGCTTCTTCCTTCAAGGAATGATTAATGTCTTTCTCATTATCAGTGCAACCGGACAAGAGATAATATTCCAGAACAAGAATTGAAGCTAGTCTAGCAGGAATCATCGGAGAGTCTTTGTTGTAGGCTCTGCTTCCCTGGAGAAAAAACCGCCCAATGCATTCAAACACGAGTTTGGATGGTTTCGGGGCACTCTTGAGAGCCGCGGGAACTTGCTCACGGAGTTTCTCCGGCTGTGATAAATTTGATACTATATATTTACGGAGGCCACGGCTGCACATGGTTCGGCAAATCGAAACAACATCATTTAGGGATCCATCTCCTTCGCCATTCTCGGTCTTCGCTTTCAATTTCTGATTTGAATGCAATTCATTCTCTTTCACCAGAGTAGGTTGGGTATTCACGGGTTCCGTACTTTGAACATTGCCTCCTGCCAAAGGAGTACAAGACACTGTCGCCGTATTCTGCGTTGTATTGGAGAGCAGAGCAAGCTCTTCAGACCTCGCGTCGATGGCTTTGTCGATAAAATCCACATGCTTTTGCAATTCATCGAACAAGCTAGTGAACGCATTTATAGCAACAGCGAAATTGCCGAGTTCATTCACCGATTTCGCAATTTCAGCCGCACGGTTATTATCTTCATACGCTGATGAAACTGACGACACCACCAATGGAAGCTGACCGTTTGTAACATCATCTTGCTCTCCTTTGACAGGCTTCATTGGAAATTGCTGAGACGGTATCGATCGCAGAGACACTGAAGTTGACGCTACTGCGCCATGTTCCTCCTTGACGCGTGCATTAACAGTGATTGGGATAGAATTCGATACGGTTGAAGGCTTCGCCATGGAAAAGGGTAGCCTGAGAATGAATCAGAGCACAGGTGCTAACCGAAAAGGAACCCTAACAATGTTAACAATTTAATTTCGAGAGGGATATTGTCCGGCGGAAAAAACCTCTCCTCTGATTGTTGAAGCCGCGGCCCCTAAGAAGAAAAAGAAGATGCGAGGAGAACGAGATGGCATCCAAGTACGAAAATCAAAAAAGAAATCATAAAATGGGGTAATTATTTTAAAATTTGTAAAACTTTTTTATCTATCTTTATAGATCATTTCTATCAATTTTATCAATATTAATATAAAAAAAAAATAAAAGTGTGTACAATTTTAAATACTCCCTCTGGTCTGCAATATTAGACGTTTTTTAAAAGGAAATTCTGGTCCACAACATAAGTCACCAAGAGATGATGATTGTGCATTTTACATTAAAGTTTCCAAAATACCCTTAGTGGTATGACATTTTTGACGCATTGCCTCTGTTTGTGGCTCAACTCTCTCTCTCTCTCTCTAAGTCGAGCTTCTTCTCTCACCATGTTCAGTCTTTGCCGTCAATCGCTTCTCTCATTCTTCCCATTAGCTCTCGCCTCATCGGTGATTGGCTTTCATTTCTAACTTTCCTCTTCCATCGTGGTCTGCCTTAGACTCGCCATGAAAGGAGTGGTTTGAAATGTCGATGGATCTTTGTCGTTCAAGCTAAATGAAAAAGGGCTTTGAAGATCTATCATGGGATGAGCTAATGGGATGTATAGCCGACGATTCTCTTGATGGGGAAGAAGATATACCCTGAGTCAACTTCTCTGGAGAGGTGACGTTTCTAAATCGGAAGATTTCGTGGGCATCTTGTACGAAGGATTCTTCACTTGGGTCTTCTGATTTTTCCAACGTTGAGATGGTGCAGCAAAAGCAAGTCCAATCCTTTGATTTGAATGAAGAGGCAATGAAGGACAGTGAAGAAGTGAGTAGTGGCAATGGCAAATGCACATCTGACCGGGGAAGAGAAAGAAAAAAGAGGAAAATTGTCCACTCATTCGATCTGAACAAATTTCCATTTTCAGAGGAAGATTATACGCATCTGACCGAGGAAGAGAAAGCTTGTAAGCGATTTGTATACGACACTTTGCATTATATGCTCTGATTAGTGTCGAATTTTAGGCCTTCTGTAGTTCTGTGTAATTTTAATTAGTCCAGACTTTAAGCTTATTTTGATGCATAATAGTTTAGTTTATTTTGGTTAGGCTAAAGTTGCATGTCGATGATCTTCTTTTTTAGTTAGTCTGATGGATGAATGTATTGACATTTTAGCCACTTCTGCGTCTCTATTATATTAGAATGATAGATGATGATATTTAAACTAATGGCAGATATTTTGAATTAGCAAGCTTTTTGTTTCGTTTTTTTGAATTAGCAAGCTTTTTGTTTTAGTGAGCTTTTGCATCTCTGTTATGGTAGGGATTACATGTAGTTAGGAAATTACAAATGGATATGCAGTGTCAATATGCAGTGTTGAATATTTAGCCCTTTCATAATTGTGGAGTTAATTTGAATCCTTAAAGATTTTTTTTCTTCTTTAATTTGATATGCAGCATCAATATGCATTGTCAATATAGAAATTGTTGGCAAATTTTAAATTACCCACTTCATACACAAATTGCTTCATTTACTACAAAATATTGACTGTTACTATTATGTGTTGCAATTTACATGAAAAATTATAACACAAAATATTAATGACTAAAACATTGAGGATTCACAAAAATATTCACCCCTTAATCTAAGCTATCCATCCACTTCTTCCAAGTGCTCTAACACTTCATGGACTAGGTAGGGATCATACTTGAGTTGATTGGTAATTCACCCCTTCTTTCTATCACATCCTTCTTCAAATGGCTTGGCTTGTACTTATTTAAACCTTTATCCTTCATAATGTCAACCATAATAGCTTGTAGTGGTAGAAAGATCATATTCAATTGCTTAGATGTGTAAACTTTAAAGAAATTCTCCACAGCTCTAACAAACTCCTCTATAGTTTTAGGTGCCTCTTAATATTGTAGTGCTGGAATTGCTCTAAAGTATCCAAGATCTAAAATGTTTAAATCAAGGGAGTTGGGGGGTTGAGAAATCAAGCGAATATCAAACCCATTAACACTTGCTGCCATACGAAAATCCTCATCATTGTTATCAATATGACAAGGAGCATTATCTTGCTGAACAAAAATAGTTTCATTTGCATGACATGTTGGCCATTTGGCTTTGATTTCTGGTAGCACTTTGTCAATAAGAAAAGACTTCATGACTTCTTTTGTAATTAAAGTGATCGATTTTGTTTCCATTGTGCCTCTGCTCCTGTTCACACTCCTTCTTCTTGCTGCCTCTTTTCTAACAAAAGGGAACAAACTAATCTTCCCAGAGAAAATTTCATTTCCTTGTACATCAAATCTAGGTCTAGCAACAGCAACTAGGAACATAACTTTACCAACATAGTTCTTGTTTTTAGATGTTCGATATGGTGGCTCCTCCCCTGCCGCCAAGTAGTAGGTTTGGGATTTCTTTATCATATAAAATCATTTTTTATCAATATGGATAATGTTGTACATAGATTGGAAAGTTAGGTCATTTGGTATACTTTGTTGCTCTAGCATAGATAAACACCACCTCAACTGACCAAGCATGTTTTGCTCCTTCAAATATGGTTTGTGCAATTGTATGGCGCCATAGAACTCCTTTATTTTTTAAGTCTGATTAGTGATGTCTTGTTAACACCCAGTGCACTTGCAAGAGACCTATAAGTAGTTCATTGATGTACCGGAATTGCCATGACTTGTTCCATGTTCACATTAGGTCCCTTTCTTCCACACTTGTTTGTCTTTCTATGGCTTGCATCCCCTGTTTCCTTAACTTGACGCCAAATGCGTTGAATGACTTTGATTAAAACTGAATATGCTGAAGCTATCTCTCTTGTTGTAATATTGTTCAGTTTACCTTGATAGCTTGAGTTTAATAAGATATTGTAAATGGAGACACGTTCTTCATTTGATAAGAACCTTCTTCTTTTACATGATGGCTACCCTGGTGATTCAATTGTGTTTTGTCTCATATCTGTTTCTGTTTCAAAAGTTTACAAATGTTAGATTTCTTGATAGACCATATAATCTAATAAACTTTTTTTTTTCCTTTTTTGCAGAAAAAATGAGAATTTATAAAAGTTGCTGTGGGTGAGCTTCTAAAACTGTGAGGATACCAATTAAACACAAAAGTTTCTATGGGTGAGTTTCTAAGACTGTCAGGATACCAGATGAGCACAAACCAAGGTATAAATTTTCTTTTTGAATCGCTGCATAGAAATGGAAAAGATTGATGTTGTTGCTTACCTTGAAAAGTTTCTGTGATTTTTGTTTCTTTAATTGGAATTATAAGTTTTTTTCTGGACAATATACATGTGGGAAATGCTAGCTGAACTCTTATCCCTCACTGCTTCCTTATTTGCTATGTAGTTTGACATCTTTTGCCATCTCATATTTTGTTTCAATGATAACATGTTGCTTACCATTATATGAATATAAGAAGAAATGATATGAAGGTGTTTAATAATGATCTTGGTTCTGTATATTTATAGACTTATTTCATGTTATAACATAGTCAGTGACCAATATTCTTGATTTACGATACTCTAAAACTTCATGAAAGATTGGATGCCTGAAAAGTTCCTTGCTCTCATGCTTGTAATTCAGTTCCTTTACTGCTTCTATCATTCAATCCCACTTATTATATAACAAATCAACTGTAGCCTTATCATCATTAAAGACTTGATGTTTTCAGATCTAGCCTTTTCAATTACTTGTTTCATCAAGTTAGCCATGTAGGATTCACCCTTGTACTCTTTAAAGTTTAAACCCATCAAGTTACATTTCCTAGTCCTATTTCACTAGTTTATTTGTACCTAGCATCATGATGGCACTTTCTTGGCCAACCTTGTCTTCAAATATTTTGATATTTAACCCATGCGATGCACAGGAGGTAAGAAAATTTTATTTTATTTAATTTAAAGCATTATCGAGAGGAGAGAAGTGGTAGAAGATTTTAGTTTATTTAACGTAATTATTATTTAATGTTAGCTGAACATAAATAATTTAAAAGAAAAATAAAGAAGAAGAAACAATTTAGATCATTGAAAGAAAAAATAACAAAAGATGGGGATATTCATGTGGATATTCATAGGCTTCATAAAGAGAGAGATTCTTACCATTTCCTTCATTTATTGTAACATGTTGCTCTTCATTTTGATTGCTGTCCTAGGTGGACATTCTCACACATGGGAGGAGCATTTAAGTCTAAAGAAATGGTGTTGCTGTCCCTACTATCCTCCTCATTGGCTGGAGCATTTAAATCAAAGGAGAAGGAGCACTTTTCCATGGTGGAAAAGTGCAGTTTCTGTGCCTTTCTTTTCTGTTGTTTTTCAATGCGTCTCATTCTCTTTTAGTGGGATATAAGTTTCTCAAAATGTGAAACACTACCTCTAATTTTTCATTCCCGCAAGAAGGCTCATTTTTTCACTGTAAAAGTCTCATTTTCACTGTAAAAGGCTTTATTCCTGTCAAAAGTCTCATACTTTCACTGTAAAAGTCTCATACTTGATAAAGCATGAAAGAGAAATTCTGAAAATAATAATTTATTCATTGATTGTACTTTTGCCTTTTTCATTTTGAAGGGTAAATTTGGAATTTCATTGACAATTATTCTTTGTACTTTTATTGTATTGGTATTGGTGAGATTGATAGAAGTGATTTATAAATAGGACCGGAGGGAGTATATCCTTATATAACAAATTTAAAAAGTAATGTCATGTTACTTTTTTTCTCTCATGAAAGGTACTTTTAAAAATATTTTATAAATATTACTTAAAAAGTCACACTATAACTTATAAATGAGACTAAATAAGCTTTCTAAAATATGACTTATAAATGAAATTTGAGAGAGTATTTCACATTAAATTTTTTACAAAATGGTTATGATATTGAATTTATTATTATATCTTAATAAAAAATGATAATAATATCACCAAAAATAAATAACAGCTTCCAAGTATCAAAAGCTATTTTCATTAAACAAGTAATTAAAATAATGTAAGAATTAAAAAAATGATAATTCTCGATATGGGAAATAATTTTTATCATCAACAAAACTCATTTCCTATACTTATTGAAAAAAACATATCTCTATGTGAAATATTATTTTTGAGGCTATGTATATATATATATATATATTATTTGGTGTTAGATATCTTTTATTAGCATACAAAATGAGTATATCACTATGGGCAAAATAAAGTCAAAAGCATATAAGATAAATAAACTTTCATCACTTGCTAGAACAAATGATATATCCAAATTACAAAGAAAATCAAATATTTCACTACGAATAATTGGGTGATTACTTTCAACTATATTTATAAAAAAAATTAATAGATGCACTGACCTACTTACCCATCAGCCATCTTGGGATAATTTTGACATTAGGATTTTTGATAATTTCATGCTTGAACATAGAAACCTTATAGTTTTATACATGATTTGATATTTGTCTATTTTGTATGGTAATGTCATGATCTTGTATTAAAAAATATATATCCCTATGTGATCATTTATCAATTATTATTTTTTTAGATGAAATCATTTATTATTTGTAAGTAATATTTTTTCACATTCAACATATTCACCCATAATTTAAAGAAATTAATTAAAATATTACCCCATCTTTTTAAAAATATCCATTTTTATAATGGATAGATAATGTTGGGAATATGAACCAACCCAACTCATATGGTTGTATAAAATATGGGTTCAATTGAATACAATCCATTTTCATATAAATTGAAAAAAAAAATCTCAACCTAACTCTATTTTCATAGGTTGGTGAATTAGAAATGTCAACCTATCAACGATTTAAATATTTTTTGCATGAACTTTAGAAAAAAAAATAACACCTAAATAATAAGTTTTAATATGATATTTCATTCGAGTGAAAAAAAAAAACACATAATAAATGTATGACATTAATCCATTCCATCATAATTTATCTTCTTGTTTTGTAGGGTTGTGGTGTTAAAACTCTCTCCATTTTTTAGTTTAATTTTTTTTAAACTAATATGGGTTAAACAAGTCAACCCCAACCCATTAGAGTTAGCTCATTTAATTTATACAGAAAATATTTATTTTTATTTGAATCAGTTTATGGGAAAAGGGGGAGTATCTAAATAGGAAAAGAGGGAGTATCATAAATATTATAATTACACATAACATGACTCATTCCTTTTTTTTTTTAGTCCTAATCTTTTCAAAAGGGAACAAAAAGATATACCAATAATAAAAAATACCATATAACATGACCCATTCCTTTTTTTGTTTTAGTCCTAATCTTTTTGAAGGCAAAAAAAAAAAACAAAGATATACCAATAATAAAAAAATATTAAAGTACAACATCAGTAGTTATAATAGCCCATGGAGAAATAAAAATATTAAACTGAGGGAAGTCATCAAGACATCGAGCATTGAGGTTATATCGACGAAGATGCATGGTCTTTCAATTTTTATCTAATTTTTTTAATCAAAAGGCTAAATAAAACTAACAACTAAATAATTTTTATCTAAATTAAATAAAAGATATATATAATATTTTTAAAATTTTATTGTGATTAAAAGATCCAACCTATTCTAAATTTAGTATTTAAAACAAAAATAATTGCTTAATGTAAATTGTAATTATACCAATTGTTAATTAATTCCAATCCAAAATATAATTAATTCGACATTTGAATCTTTATCTCGTTTGGCCACATTCTAGACCCTAAAATAGTTCTTCGCCGAGGGAGTGATGCGTAGGGTGAAAAGGCCCATTTAGCCTGCATTCTGTGTCACTCACTCACATTTTCTCAGTAAAGCATTGTACTTGTCAAGTGGAGATTCTTGATTTCATCAAAATTAGGTAAATCTTAGTTGCGTAAGGGGAAAAAAATTATAAACTCAAATCATAAAAAGAATGATTGATGTACTCAATATGAAAAAACAGTAATGAATTGCCCAAGCTAGAAACAAGGGGCTTAAAAAACCAGAACAATGAATTGTGTACCTATACCGTATAAAATGGTTATTTACAGGGTTGAGTTGTGTCAGATAAGTTGACAATATGATTAAACTGGTTCATAACAAATGGGTTACCGTTAACATCCAAATCAATCAGGACAGTGTCACCTTGCTTGCACTCTCCAGCAATGATTGCTTCACTCAACAGATCTTCAATCAGTGAAGTAACGGCTCTCCTCAGAGGCCTTGCACCATATGTTGGGTCATACCCTTTCTGACACACCAAGTCCTTCACTGATTCAGAAACCTCTAAATCAATTCCTAGACACTTCGTCCTCATCTTCACCTCTCCCAGCATCAAATCCAGTATTTCAAGAAGCTGCATTTTAAATAGTAACGTAATAAGTTAGACCATTTTCTTTGTGGGCAAGAATACACCTTTAGTCCTCTAACTGTACGTCCCGTAGTTTCATAAAATATCTTTTCATTCCTCTAACCCTAATAACATTAGTCTTGATGAGTTTTTGTGCCATCCATTGTTATTCTGATAAATTAAACTTAATACATCAACATTTGAAAGCGCCATGTGTGTTAGAATTGGAGGATTACAAATATACTTTATAAAATTAAAAGATTAAAATGAAATCTTATGCATAGTTAAAAGATTAAAAATGCATTTTTACCCTTTTTTGCTGAGTTTCAGCAAACAAAGGAACAAATGGTAACAAACCTGTGTCTTTTCCAAGGTTTGAAACACTACCACCTCGTCTATTCTGTTGAGAAACTCTGGACGAAAATATGTCCTTAATTCTTCAATCACCATTGATCTCAAACCATTGTATGAAGTTTCTTTATCATTTGGAAGCAAGAAACCTATGGAGTTGCGTCGACCTTTTGCAATGGCACTTGACCCCACATTTGAAGTCATTATCACCAATGCATTCTTAAATGAAACTCTTCGACCCTGTTAAATCCAGTTTCAAAAACAATGACCGAAAATAGTAAGACACTGATAATGAAAATTACCAACTGACCCCAGATATAAAATGCATTGACATTCACAAACCTGAGAATCGGTAAGATGGCCATCTTCAAGAAGCTGAAGAAGGATATTGAATACATCAGGATGAGCTTTCTCTATTTCGTCTAGCAGGAGCAATGTGAATGGTTTTCTTCTGATAGCTTCTGTTAAAGTGCCTCCTTCTCCATAACCAATATAACCTGGAGGAGATCCAATCAATTTGCTTACTGTGTGTCTTTCCATGTACTCACTCATGTCTAATCGTACCATGGCTGCCTCCTGAGATAAAGTATTTTTAACTCCTTGTTATGTTCAACTTTTTCCAGAAGAATGTATGAGTTCAGTCTAGGATCTTATACAAGTTTAAAAGGGAAAGATTGAATGTTTGTTATATGCATCTATGGTTTTGATGCTCAAGACGAAGACTTACTAATCCAAAGTAGCATTCTGCCAGAGATTTAGCAAGTTCAGTTTTGCCAACACCAGTGGGGCCACAGAAGAGCATTGCTGCTATTGGCCTATCAGGATCCTTAAGGCCAGCTCTCGATCTCTTAACAGCACGAGAAATGGCGGAAACAGCCTCTTCTTGTCCAATCACACGTTTCTGAAGATGGTGTTCAAGATTTACCAGAAGCATTCTTTGATCAGCAGTAAGCTGCTGAACAGGAATGCCTGACCACAGGGAAGCAACTGTTGCTATCTCCTCAGATCCAACCACTGAAGGTCTAAAAGAAAACATGATGTTAGCCACTGAGAAATCAAACTAAGCTCAAGCCCAAACCTTGTACTCATAACATGAAGTCACATACTCATCATCATTGGTTGTGTAAGGCAAATAGGAGTCTAGGACGAGTTCATTGGTATCATCAGAAGCTCCATAGTATTTGAGTTTGCCTTCCTGAACCAGCATGCATCAGATAAAAACGAACAATGAAAACAATCCACACAACTACAAGCATGCAAGAAGCAGTTCCATTACCATTTCATGCATGGCCTGAACAGTTTTAATTTCTTTCCAGTAATCAGCTGGGCTCTTGGAAAGAATGCAAACTTCTTCTTCTCTTTTTCTCTTGAAGGCTTCAATATGAGCTCTGCTTCCTGCTTCATCAATGAGGTCAATAGCTTTGTCAGGAAGATACCTATCAGCTATGTATCTTGCTGATAAATGCACAGCGGCCTTTATGGCTTCTGGTGTATATTTGCACTTGTGGTGTGCCTCATATTTCTCACGTAGACCCATAAGTATCTTTACTGCATCATCCTATACATCATGATGTCCAATTAGAAATTCCAAATTAGGACTATCTGTTCACATTACATAGAATAATAGAAGGGATGAATAAATAAAACTTTAAACAACCTCACTTGGTTCTCCAACCCAAACAGGTTGAAACCGCCGTGCCAATGCCTTATCTTTCTCAAAATGCATCCTGTACTCATCCATGGTTGTGGATGCAATGCACTGTACAAAAGGTGAATGTTTATGCACTTTGAATAAGAAAGTATCGCACGACATCTGTGAACATATTGTGCATAGTTTTTTCATAGAAAAAGGAATAAATAAAGATGACCCTTTCATACTATCATGCATATATGACACATTCCAAATGCAATGAGAACTTAATAAACCAATTAAAAAGCAAATTTTAATGTCTAAATTATTTAGTCTGTTCTTACAGCTGTTTAACCCCAGCAGAATGACTACCACACAAAAACCTTAATTAACTTGTCTTTCTAAAATCATCTCAACTTCAAAAGCATTGACAGAAAACATTTTCCAGCAAAATATTGTTATAGCTTACCAGAATTATGGTTCTGGTTTCAAACCTGAAAATATGTCCATGTTCAAGGAACACTTGGAAGCTACAAAGAAGAACAGAAATCAGTAAATGCAATTAGATGAGAAATAATCACCTGAAATTGACCCCTTCCAAGTGCAGGTTTCAGCAAACTAGAAATGTCAAGGCCAGCTCCTTGTTTTCCCGATCCAACTGCCCCTGACTGGACAAGCGTGTGGACTTCATCAATGAAAAGAATGACATCACCTGTATCAGAAGAAACCAATGAGAATTAAAGCAATTCTCTATTCAACCAACTTTGTATTGTTACGTTTTGCTGAAATGTTTTTCTTTCTTTCACCTGACTGTATTATATCTTTTATTAATTTTGTGACACGTTCCTCAAGTTCTCCTCTCTCCTTTGCCCCAGACATCAATAATGCAACATCCAAGGACATGACACGCTTTGTCTGTGGAAACACAAAGCAGAAATGAAGATCAGAAGACATTAAGTTACAGGACCCATCTATTAATTAATGCACACCAAAGGGCACAAGATTAGAGGACAGAAGAACATAAATCACTTATGGAGAAACACACCAATAGGAAAACAGGAACATCTGCGTCAGCGATACGAATTGCCAGACCCTCGGCAATAGCTGTTTTTCCAACACCACTTTCACCGAGAAGAATGGGATTGCTTTTAGTTTTTCTAGCTAAAATTTGCACAATCCTCTGAACCTCGAATTCCCGACCAATAACAGGATCAATTAGTCCTTCATCGGCACGAGCAGTGAGATCCACACAGAACTGTGATAGAGCACTTTGATCTGACAAACAGAACTTGATTAGTATAAAGTAGACTAATTTGACAAAATTAAAGAATATTTCTTACCTTTTGATGAATCAGAGGTTTCTGAGGCACTGCCCTTTCTTGAAAGAGACTTACCACGCATCCCTTTGGATAACATCTTAGGTTCTCTTCCATCTTTGGCAAGTTCCTTTTGTAGTCTGGAGAATGCTATAGATACCAAGTGGTGTGGATTTACATCTAGTCTGAAAGAAATTTACATTAGCAACATCCTTATTAAAAAAATGAATCAAAATAACAGCCCCAGATGATTATGTCAAGCAATATCATAGTGGCTGTTTGCACTGCAAGAAATGAATACAGTGATGGAACCCCCGAAATAAAAAATTATCGCTTTTATAGACAACGCTGCTACTGTAACCCTTGGGCTCTGTCCACCACAGTAAAATCAACAGAACAAGAAAGAGGTACCCTTCCTAGTATGTGAGACATCAGAGACTATACACTAAACCAGAAGATTTTCCTTTCCATCTTTAGCCCTCAGCCAAACAAATATATGTATATATATATATCACACACACACCACACAGTTCCTTCTGAATCAGCTATAAGTACTATTTTCTCTTTCTTCCTCTTCGGCCACCTCAGCAAAATCCCATCCAGTCTTGGGCCAATAATTGTGGGTCCAACATGCATACCCATAAAAAAAAGATGAAAATGAAAAAAAGGTAGGCGGGGGGCCAGTGGAAAGAATTCAAACTCTCGTCAGATTCAACTAGAACTCAGAGACATAATCAGGTGCGTTTCATAAAGTAATTACCGAATGGGGGGAATTAAACTTTATCACGTTTGGGCAATAAAATTAGAGAAAGAATGCAAGTTAAGATCCTCTGTAGTTGTAGCAACGTGTTTAAAAAGAAGGGCTGAAACAATAAAATTGGGCTATATATGATATACGCGATCAATTTGTTTGTGACTGGAGAAGAATACATCGGATTCAAAACAATATAGTGAGACATGATGCAGTACCTCCTGAGGACTCGGCCAGCATTTCCATCATCAACTTTGAACAGAGCAACGACAAGATGCTCGGGGCCAATAAAATTATAGCCCAGAAGCTTGGAATATTCAGCAGCAGCCTCAAACACTCGCTTTACGCTAATGGAGAAGGGAACATGGTGATAAGGAACAGCAGTAACATCCTTTTTGTCGTCACTTTCACCATCATCGGTGCCTGTAGCAGCAGAGCTAGAATCTTTGAGATTCCAAATGCTGCGAACTGTCTCTCGAGCCGTATCAATGGTGACGCCAGAAGCAAGAAAACCATCAGGAGAACTATCCTCCTCTGCTATTAGTCCCAGCAAAAGATGCTGCGTGAGAACAGCTTCCTTACCAAGGGCTTGAGCTTCTCTCTGGGAAAACAGTATAGCTTTTATAGCTCTCTCAGTAAATTTCTCAAACGCTGCGCAGACAGTGTGAGCTCTCTTTTTTCTCATCTTCCTCTTGCTTCGTAGTGATACGAAACATTTTCTTTGAGTCACAAGGAAATTTCCATGAGAGGATGAACCGTTTATGAAAGGTGAGTTCGAAGAAGCAACGGTCGTAGTAGAGCTAGAACAAGGTTGTGATGGCAGAGAGCGAATAGGGTTGAACTTGAAAGTAATTGCCTTGCGTTGGACATGAACATGGCTGGATCGATTGGAAGCAAATGATCCAATAGAGAGTGGGTCCAATCTGCAGCGATAGTGAATCGACGATGACGAAACTTGCATCCTCGAAGGAGTCTCTGCTTTCAGGTACTGTGCCGCCAAAGATAGTCACCGGAAATAGCAGAGCAGAGAAATAAGTCCGCTCGATGATGACTTCCTCACAAAAAGGGTCTCAAAAAAAAAGTTTTTTTATTTGATTTCGTCAATAACTTAGAAAAGGATCCTTTTTGAGTACCTCTTCCTTTCAGAGGGAGCAAGCAAAGGTTGAAGAAGGAGGAGGAAGAAGAAGGATGGAGGAAGAAGAAAAGTACGAAGTGAACAACACATACAAGACACGTTACCAGAGAGAAAGAGGCAACCTTTGCTTTACATCACATCATGACGTAACTTGCATCAAAGAAAGAAACGATGAGTTCAAACCGAACATCAATTAAATTAAAAATAAAATATTAACGACCATCACTTCTGTATAAGTTTGTCCGGCTTTCGAAGATTCTCTCTCGGGACTCCAACAGTCCGGATTCAAGGCGAGATTGGCACATCACTGATTGGTAATTAGATTAAGGAATGATATTGTTTGTGAAGTAGTACTTCCGACCGACTAAAAAAATATTAAAGCGAAAAAGACATTATAAGCATAAGGATTACGTGACGTGTTCAATGGGAATCCAGTAAATTTGATATTGGGTTTAGGGCAAGTCAATGGATGTAGAATATAATTTTGTTGTGGCCCGTAGTGATTTGATTTCCTTGAGGCTACCAACGGTGTTTTCCATCTGATTCTTCCTTTGGCAACCTAATTGACACCTCAATTTGGAATTTGGATTGGATAATTGGTTTAAATGTAGTTGCTCAATGTATATATAATGTAACACACGGCTTACTTTAATCAAATGGTTATAAAAAAATTTTGTTATATAATTCTCAAAGGTATCAAATTTGATAATCAAATAATATAGCTTTTATAATGAAAGTATGTCGGGGACTCCTCGCAAACAAAGAAGCACTATGGGTCAAGGTCTTGCAATTGAAGTATGGATGTGGTGATAATGAATTTCCTTGTATTCATAGGAAACGCAACTCCTCTTCTACATGGCAGGCGATTACTGCAGTCTGGAACGGTTCTCAACAGGGGGTGAGGAGGAAAGCTTGTAGGGGCATGAATAGCAAATTTTGGGTGGAACATTGGTTGAACCTAGATCAACCTCTACTCTCACAATGTAGATAGAGTAAATTTTAGGATTAACTTTATAGATAATGTCAATCAGTTTGTCCTCCCATCTGGTCAGTGGAATGTCAATGCATGGAGACATGTTCTACCTACATGGGTGATCAATGAAATACTCCAATCTAAACCTCCTAGTGGTGCCGAGAAGGATACGTACCGATGGAAGCAATCTACTGATGGACACTTCAGTGTTAAGGCAGCTTATAAGTTTGTGTCGAATCATTCAAATAGGCCAAATGAACCTCGATGGACTAAGTTGTGGAAACGGCCTCTTCCAAAGAAAATCAAGTGTTTTTATGATAAGTTGTTCATCTAATACACTCTGTGTAAAGAGAGGTCTTATGTACAACCATAATTGTCCTTTTGAGTGTCAAAGTGAGGAGAGTGCTATACACATAATTCGGATTGTGAGTTTGTAAAATCAGTGTGGGAAAGTTTTATTGGACCTAACTAAATATTTATATTTTTTTTCTTTTGACTTGCAGGGATAGATCCGATGGAACTTTGAAAATTGCCCTGGACGAAACAAATTCAAAAAATGGCCATGGATCAGGATCTTTGGTTTTGTTTACTGGCTACTATGGAAAGCTCGATGCAGTAGACTTTTTGAATATTCTAAAATCAGATCCCAAGAAGTGAATCATCAATGTCATTTCCATATTATGGAAGAGATCAATGGTGATAAGTACAAGCATGAGGTGTTCCAAACCTCAACAGCAGCAACAAATAGGTGGTATCCTCCACCACATAGTGTTGTGCGATTAGAAGTGGATGCATCGTTTGATCAAATGAGTCATGCTATGTGTGGAGGTATTTGTCGCAATGACCAAGGGGATTGGGTCATGGGATTACAACGACAGATCGAACCATCATCAGTAGTAGAAGCTGACCTCATGGCGCTCAAAACAAGTATCCAGGTCTATCAAAGGGAAGGGCTCCAGCGTTTACAAGTCTTCTCTGACTCTCTAGAAGCCATCAATCTCTTCTTTAAGGAGTGTGGTTTATGTTGTCCACTTCAAAACTTAATTAATGAGGTCAGAGAACTAATTTATCAAGACTATAGAATTTCCATTAGTCATACATACAAGGATTCCATTAGATGTGCTGATAGTATCGCGAGGCATGCCCACTCTTTGGTAAGAGAATTTCGAATGCTGCGTTCTTGCCCAGATTTTTATACTCAACAAGTTTATTCTGGTAGGCTTGGCTTTAGCTAAGTTTTTGTAACCACCCAAGCATCGGCTTGGTTACTTGTATTATAAAAAAAGGGAATCCAATAAATTTGATATTGAGTTTAGGTTAAGTCAATGGATGTAGAATACAATTTTGTTGTGGCCTGTAGTGATTTGATTTCCTTGAGGCTACCAATTGTGTTTCCCCACTGATTCTTCCTTTGGTAACCTAACTGACACCTCAATTTGGAATTTGGATTGGATAATTGGTTTAAATGTAGTTATTCAAAGTATATATCATGGAACACACTAATAACGGATTAATTTAATCAAATGGTTGTATAAATTTTTGTTATATAATTCTCAAAGGTATTAAATTTTAAATTTTTAGAGATAACAACATGTAATAGTGTTTTGATTGCTATGGTTGTTTTAAATTTTTTTAAAAATATATTCTGATAATTTTTAAATATGAATGAATTTTAGTTATCATAATTAAAAGACTCATTAAATAAATAAATATTTTTAAAATACTTCTCAAATTCAAATCCATCAACATGGGGTATGAGGCTTAAGGTGCGGTTGTCCCATTGTGAAGATGCATGTAATCGCGCCGTGCTGCGACTTGGATGATCTGGCGTCTGGGACCACCAGTTAGACGTTTTCAAGTTGTAACTTGCCATTTGATTTCACACACACAAAAAAAAAAAAAAAAAAACCCCATCCAAAGAAAGGTTCTGTCGTTTTTGGGGAAAATAGAAGGAAGTTCTCGCACGCGAAGTTTTGTAATTAGAAATTTTTAGTGTTTAGACTCCCCCCTTTTTTTTAAGACTCCAAATTTGGACGTACTTTCACTTACTTTGTCATGTTGTTTCGATCGATTTAAGACTCGCAAAAGCAGTGAAAAGCGTGTATGGTATGAAATTTGGGGTCCCCCCCCTTTTTAAGACTCCAAATTTGGACGTACTTTCACTTACTTTGTCATGTTGTTTCGACCGATTTAAGACTCGCAAAAGCAGTGAAAAGCGTGTATGGTATGAAATTTGGGGTCGATTTTTGCTCTTCTTTTTTTAAGGAAAAAAAAAAACATTTGCAGAAGAAGATGGTCGGATCAAAAAATACAAGGATGAATATAGAAACATATAATGATAACCGGCTTCACATTTCGTGCTCATCATACTCATCATCCACTGAGGTGATCCTAACCTTTCATTTTCTCTCAAAATAATCTCTGCCTTTAATTTTAAATTAATTGTTAAATATTTTAAATATTATATTTGTGAAAATAAAAATTATAAAAAGTTATTGTTAAATTTTAAGTATTTAAAATATATCTAGATAGTCAAATTATAAAAAATAATATTAAATTAGAGCATTCAGATTATATTTGGACTGTCTAGAATATATCTAAACAGTCAATTTATAAAAGATATAAAAAAATTTATATTAAATTGAATTATCTAGATTAAATATAAACTAATAAGATTGATTATCAATAGATTTATTAAAAATTTAATCTTTTTTATGCATTTTTATTTTTGATTAATATAAAATAAAAATTTAAATTTAAATCTGATTGTCCAGATCTTATCAGGAGTGATGTATATGATAGTGGTCATCATGTAATGAGCACCGAGGGCAATCCAGTTTTAATATTAAATTTTTATTTTCACAAATATAATATTTAAAATATTTAAAAATTAATTTAAAATTAAGGGCAGAGATTATTTTGAAAAAAAATGAAGGGCTAGGATCACTTTGTAGGTGATAAACATGCCGCGCTCATCATTATTAATGAGAGCACAAATGTAAATCCATAATAACCCTAGTGTATCGAGTTTGGTATTATAAAGTATTATTTTAAAAGTCTCATGATAAGAAAATGTGAGATATTTTGAACTCTTCAAGATGCAATAAATAAAATTTTTGAAATATTTTTAATAAAAAAATGTGACTAATGAGATTTTTTTTATTAAAACATCACATTAAATAAAAAGAAAGGTAATAAATAAAAGTCTCATCATAAAAAATATAAGATATTTTGAACTCTTCAAGATGCAAATGCTTTTAATAAGATTTATTTTAACAAGATGTGAATATAATAAAAGTCTTGTGATAAAAGTCTCATCAAATACTTTTAACAACATTTTTTAAAAAAAGTCTCGTGATAAAAAATATAAGATATTTTTAACTTTTTGAAATGTAATAAATAAAATTTTTAATATTTTTAATAAAAAAGAGTAATTAATAAAAAAATTTAATTGAGACTTCTCATTCAGTTAAAATAAGATAATTGTGCATTTTTGTCAGTATAATATTATTTGAATAACACTCAATATTTTAAAATATTTATTATAACATTTTCGCCTTTAAAATAATAAACTCGAAGAAGTTCATCATAGTATTCTTTGATAAGCATTGTCAATCTTGATGTTAAATACATAGATGTTGACTGTTAGTATAAGGTGAGAGAAAATAGTTTGACTATCTATGATTTACCACGTGGATTTGACTCATGAATCAATCTCTCCTCCATTTCTTCATTGCGTCAATTCCCCTGGTTAGTTTTTGGAGTATGATGGGGCTATTCGAAAATCACCATAATAATAAGACATTTAATTATATTGATGGGGCCATAAGGTGCTCATAAATATCATCAATGGGTTTTCGTTGTTGCCATCATTAAGCATCATTATTAAGGGTTAAATTGTTAATCCTGATACTAATTAATTAAAGTACAATTTATAAAGGAAGCCAACAATGATGTTTGAGTTTGGTGAGAGTTAAATGAGCTAATAGGAATTAGTATTGGGGTTAAGTATACCTAATCATGCATAATGAAGGGTTTAGGCCTTAATCACAATTAGGGATTTGTTATTAACGATTGGTCATTAATGATGATTCATTGACTGTTACATGTAGGTGTACACCAAACTTATTAAATGGATGAAAAGCTTCTCCGAGGTCGAACTTTCCACTCTAAAAAATGGTAAGGACTTCAGAATAAAGATAACAGAATGTTGTAGTTTACTATAGTGAATTTATTAGAAAGTATTGTTGTTTGATCAATTGTACAACTACTGTATTGAGTTTTAAATACTTACATGGAGTGCCTTTG